CATGGGCAGCCCACTCTGACATCTCTCCACTTAGTGCATGTATAGGTCCAGTTTGTGCATGTTTGTGTTCGGACCTGTGTGTAATTGACAACAGAGTGAAAAATTTAATTGAGTTCTTCTGGCCTGGCACTTTGACAAAACAATTCTTTACACTTCACTATTTAGTACTTTTTCCTACTATTTAGTACTTTTTCCTACTAAACGTTGGCTGCTATCCTCCACACTGCCCTCTCTCTAGGGTTGCCAGGTCTGATCCTTTTCTTCTTCTTCGCCCCCTGTAATAGGCTAACAGCTTAAAAGGCAAATTACCACCCATTCAACTTGAACTCTACTAAGTAACCTCTGTTTTTACAAATTTCTTAAACCACCAGAAAGTAAAACAACAACCTTAGAAAACAAAAGGCTGTGAATTATTATTTTCCCGAGGGCTTTTCAAATTTTTAGGGGGAGGTCCTCTTTAAACGCATATAAATCGGACAATGAAATAATAGCACTACACAGTGCATACACAAATACATGGTCTTAAAACAGGGTATTACATAGGTAAATACACTAAAATACAGATAGAAATAAAGATAAACCAGGGTACAGGCATGGACATAAAGAGGTATATTCAGTCAAGTGATTTGGTGAAGAAAGCTGCATTATTTTCCATATGGATATATTGATGTAGGTTATCGGCCAAAAGAGTTGTTATATATCGGCATATTGGATATCGGCAAAAAAAAAAAAATCAAATATCATGCATCCCTAATGAATTTGGTATTGCTTATCTGTAAACAGCTGGGGGAAATAAGTGCATTACACCAGGTCTGTGTTTAATTTTAATTTGAGGTACTAAATTGTTTTACTCCTACTGCAGCTGTTACTAGTTACTGTATTGTGCAGATTGACTTTAACGTGTTAATCAAATGTGACATAACATAACCTTGAGCAGTAATAAGTATTTCAAATGCGCAACCTGTAGCAAACGTTCTCCATATCTGCCTGTTAGCACTAACAATTAGCACCTGACAAGCATAAACAAAGCACTACTGTTGTGTTTGTGCCAGCAAATGAATGTAAGGAAAATATTCACACACACATCCCCAATTTTCCTCATCATCGACTTCTTTGGTTCTTACTTGATTTAATTTGATGTTGAGCTGGGCAGGTAGCATATGACCCAGGACAGGAGGGGTCTGAAACTGCCCAGATTGTCATTGGTACCCTTCTACCAAGCATCAGTGGTGTGTGTGGGGTGAGGAGCTTGCCCAAAGGATACTGAAAAGCAATACTTACCCACCCATTTCAAATTTTATCAGTCCATTAAATGGCCATTATCAGTTGTAATTGGGTGCATAGAGTTGAATGGCTCTACTTTGGGCGGCAGTAGCTCAGTCCATAGGGACTTGGGTTGGGAACTGGAGGGTCGCCTGTTCAAGTCCCCGTCCGGACTAAATATAGAGTGTGGACTGGTGGCTGGAGAGGTGCCAGTTCACCTCCTGGGCACTGCCGAGGTGCCCTTGAGCAAGGCACCGAACCCCCCAACTGGTCGGGGCGCCTGACCAAGGCAGCCCCCTCACTCTGACATCTCTCCACTTAGTGCATGTATATGTCCTGTTTGTGCATGTGTGTGTCTTTCGGACTTGTGTGTAATTGACAGCAAGAGTGAAAAAAATGAATTTCCCCTCAGGGGGATTAATAAAGTATATTAAAAAAAAAATTACCTCCTTCACATCTGTTTCCCGTCAGACAGCAACCTCTAGTGCCTGTAATAATTATGATGGAAGCAAAGGAGATAGTTAAGTGTCGTAGTATAAAGATCGACAAAGTCCGTGCAGGAAGGTGGTTGGGTTGCACTGATATGGCAAACAAAAAGATAATTTTAACCAAGGTGGCCACTGCTCATGATCTGTGTGACACCAGAAGTAAACGTTGACTTACTTGAACTGACATATGAAGACAGCTCATGTAATGTCATAACCATACTTATTTTAACCCAAACCCGATCTGTACTTTACCCAACCACATCGTTTTTTTGCCTAAACCTAACAAAAAGTTAGTGAGAAAGTGAAAGTGAGACCTAACAAAACTGTTTTGGAACATTTGATTTGCACGTTCTAGCCTACTGGTAGGTGCAGTTTGCTGTTTACATAACAATGGCAGTGTTAACAACCGATAACGGCCAATTAACGGGGTGATGATATGCAATACCCTGCTGCCCCCTTGCAAGCAATACAGAAGTATCTGCTGTCATACCACCAGACTACAGAGCAGCTATTTTCTTAGGCTATGAGACTCCTCACCTCACCCTCCATGCTCCCTCATAAAAAATTGTTTTTGTTTTGTTGTGTGGCATAAAGGGACTATGTCTTGCATTTCATTGTGTAACCCTGTGCTGTAGAATGACAATGAACCTTGCAACCTCGTTCACACTTGAATGAATGGGCTGAAAGCAATACATCAAATTTTTGGTGGAGGTTGTCACAACAGAGGACTTTTACTAGCAATAACTTGCTTCATCAAAATAATTTGATAAAAAATCAGAAATCATGTAAATGCTCCACACAAAGGGGCTTAAATGTGAGTAAAAATGGTGCCTCTGAGAAGCTATTCTTTATCACATTTGTAGGAGGCCCACAGCAGGTGCAGTTGAAAGAGGTGCATGCAGGAGTTTCATGCTGTTGTTTTGTAGCTTCTCTCCTTTCCTCTTGAGAGACGAGTGTGGGCTTGGAACCTTTGTGACTGGATGCTGGGGATGACTGTGGGTGGAGCTTTGTTGACATATAGCTACTGATCTAATGTTAACACCTGGTCACAATCTCATGACATGGCTGATCTTATTTGATCAAGAATCTTATCACGTAGTTGTCATCTGTCTGTTCGTACAATATTTTTTTATTAGATAAAGTATCCTGCTCTGAAATTGTGAACAGAATGTATGTAGATTAGACCAAAGGTCACCAAAACTTTCTATAGCTAGGTAATTGTTATAATTTCATGTACTTAATGGCATAATAACATATTGAATGCCAACGTGAAAACTTTTTTTGCATTGAATCAGTGACACTTTTATAAAATAGACCATTTTATAAGACACATCTCCTTCATCCTTAGTAACTGTTGCTAAGCCTGTCAGTCTCTCTGGTTTTGTGCAGCAAATATGCAATTAGCAATGATAAGGTGGGCAGATTTACCACTCAAAATTCTTGCTAATTTTTGAAACAATAGCTCCTTGATTACCAACAGAGGCAAACAAAAGCATGTCTCTAATTTCTATTTTTAAAATGGCAGTTTTGTAGCTGACTTGTTTAAAAATGAAAGCCGCTAGCATTTCATGCTAAAAGAATGAAGCTAACAGGTGCCAGTTAGAAAAGAAGTCTGCATCTTCACCAGGTGGTAAACCATGTAGAGGACACAGACCAGCTGTTAGGAAATACGGGCAATGGGACAGCATTTTCAAAAGTAGGTCCTCTCATTCACACCCAAGAGGGAGTGGGGGATCCTTAGCATTTTTATACTTCCTGCGAACATAATCAAATTAATCATATTTCCACATGTATTTTGTATCTACTTCTACTTGCATCTACTGTTAAGACCTTGTTTTCTTATTTTGAAAAGTAGAAGTAGTCTTGTGTGTCCTGGACCAAAAAAAATGTCCTTGAATAGAAAAGACAAAAGTCAAATCATCATCACCTGGTTAAGGAAATTACTGCAAGGTATTTAATCACAAGATCAAATCAGGAGTAAACAAATATTTCTTTCTTCATTTATTCATTAAATCTTAAGTGTTACTTTAATTAAATATTGGTCAAAATTTGTGCAGAACTGAAATAGTGTTAAGATTAAACTTGCAGTTTTCCAGTCATACCCAGTATGGAATTTCAAAACTGTTTATGGACCCCAGTATGCAAAAATACTTAAATACACCATTTAGGAAAATGGCAATGTTCCCTTTTCCCTCGCCAAAATTAAGCATAACTTTGAAGCATTATTGGCTCCTTTCTAACAAGATAGCATAACATGATTGACACCAATGGATGATGTAGGTCCTTTAGTTTAATATGATACCACTGTCTTCACTGTGGCTTTAAAAGTGAGCCTGATACAGCAGGTTTTATTTGCTAAAAATTACTCTGCCTCACTTCTCACCTTCAGTTCCACCTGTCATACCTGCTGCTTCTTCACATTTTTTTGTCAGACAGACATTTGTCCTCTACCTCTCTACTCCTTTCATTTTCTTGTTCTCTCTGTACCCTGGCTTTTCCTTTAGGAGTCCCTGATTTTTGGTGAATCATTCTGACTTTGCTAATCAGGCAGTAGCCTGCCTCACAAGTTTACACAAGGGGCACTTGTGAGTTCTGCGCATTGCTCACCTGACCCATGGCAGATAGACTGCACCATTTCAAAGTACCTATGGGGGGTTGGGAGTAAAAAATGGCATGTTGAAATGTGTTTTAATGATAAAATTTCATTTATTTATTATGTAAATACATGCAACTAGTATTGTCAGTGATTTAATTCAGAAAGTAAATTGATGTAGTTGATTCCATTTAAGGGTCAGACCTTCAATGACTAATGCTTAACAATACACCTCACCCACAAACTCTTAAAATGTGCAGTGTCTTACCACAGCCCCATGCACACTGCTTCAACATGACGTGGACAAATCAAAAGCTTGACAGACCTGCTGTGTATTGTTTCGGTTGCTTAGCTACAATAGGACATGGGCTGTTCAGCAAAGGGATTCAGTAGCAGTTTGAGTTAACATAGTAGGCTATATATGTGAAGTGTCATGCTGTTTTATCAGATGGCTTGACATAAAAAGCACCATCACACGAATCAAGCCAGGAAAAAAAAAATCACAAATGTGTACTGTAAGGACAAACACTGAGTTGTGATTTACTTGTTGTATGAAATAGGTCTTAGAAGATGTGGAGGAAAGAATGAGATCCTGCTACAAAGCAGGCAACATTCTTTCCAACATTTAATCATTCAAACACTCCCACCCTCTGCAGAATGCTCTTCTTCACCGACTATGGGAATGTGGCCAAGGTGGAGCGCTGCAACATGGACGGCACCAACCGGACTCGGCTGGTGGATTATAAAATTGAGCAGCCCACTGCTGTGGCATTGGACGTGGTCAAGAAGCTGGTGTACTGGGCAGACGCCTACCTGGATTACATCGATGTGGTGGATTACCACGGCAGAAACAGGCACACCATTATCCATGGGAGCCAAGTGAGTGTCATATTTCACTGTAAGCGCTGCTTTTTGTCTTCCATGGGCTCCACATCATAAGGAGCCATTGTGGACAAACGTCAGTGGGAATCTGAACAGACAATTGACTTCTCTTATCACTACTGTCTCCCTCTTCATTTGAGAGACTCCAAATTGTTACATGAGAGGGGCTTTCTAATTTTCTGATTTAGGGCACCGTGCTTTATCACTGCAAGACAGGTGGTTTATTCACTGCTTGTTGTTATAATTCACTCCTCATTTTCATAGAAAAGGTCTTTTGAATGGGGAATAGATGGTTTATTAAATTGAAGGAATTGAGGCATATGTGGGGCTGTCTTCCAAATGAGCATATCAATAGTCTCTTTCCTGTAGTACACTCTTGAAGGCTTTCATCCCAGATTATGACTATTCATTAAAAGGCCTTTTCAAGCAACTTGGACTAGATACTCACCCTTTATGAAGGAAGGAAAAACGTACATTTCAAACACCTTATTTTGTATGCAGGTGTTCTTTGCATAAAATTTGCTTCCACCACTAGCTTGTAGCCTCGTTAGACAGAGGATCTTGCATCTACAATGACAAATGCCCTTTGTACATCTTTGCATAAACTGTATATGTGTTTTTTTTCCCTGCCAGCTGTTGCTGTCAGTGGTCCGAAGTCAGAAGTAACAACTTATATACACATTTAATTACTATGCAATTTATATGTCATTTTCCAAATATAGCTAATGTCTGTCTAACTGCTGTAGCACAGTGTTGTGGGAAAGAAAGACTTCAGTCATTTCAGCCTAATCTAATTAAACGTCTCATCTCTTAATCACCATAATCCTGCTTTTTTTAAATTTTCCTTCATGTTCATTCCAGCAAGTACCAGATAGCATGCATTCCATATGACGTAGGCAAAGATGCAAGTACAGTATACACACATCCTTTTTAGTAGTCTGTGTGAGGTATCTTTGAAAGTTCTCATGTAAAAGTCGAGTGCCGAGGCCAAATTCCATAGAGGGAAATGGTTGAGTGGTTTGTTTTGTTATTTATTTATTTATTTATTCTGACGCATGTTTCTTGGTGCCCCTGACGTCAAGGTGTGACCCAGTGAGCTTCGGTGTACTTCCTGTGAATACAGCTCATCCAGCCATGTCGCTTTGTGTGGGTGTCAGCCTGCTAAATGTAGCATGCAGGCTGTGGTGTCAGGGCCAGTGTCCTCCCTGTGGAGTCCAGCTTTTGACCCCGTGTGGGCTGCCAAATGTACAGACAGCCCCACCACCTTCTCCCAACCCTCCTCACACTTGCTGCATGATTAAAGATAAAAGTCCTCTCATTAATTCACATTTGTTATTGTTTCCTTTGTGCTCCTCTTGTGGTTTTAGTTATTTTTGGCTTCAGGGATTATGTTAAAAAGGGAAAAAAAAATTCTCTTCTTGCTTTTCAGGTGTCGTACATTTATGCATTAGCTGTGTTTGAGGACTACCTTTATGCTACCCACTCTGACCCCTCCGAAGGGAGTTCCTCCGTGGAGCTGTTACAGATCCACAGGTTCAACATCACAGCGGAGAGCAGGACACTAGCCAGCCTGGGGAATACTAGAAGACTCCGTGTTTACCACAAACTCACTCAGCCAAAAGGTAAAGGACATTTTATAGATAGGTTAACATGTGCAAGTATGTGTCAGAATCTTCCCCATCTTGTGACTCACAAGCTCAAGTCTGTGTACTCACAGAACAAGGATGCATCATTAGCTCATAATGATTCCTCTGTCCTTTCTGATTTTGCCCACAGTCAGGAGTCACGCATGTGAAGTAGTTTCATTTGGAAAGCCGGGTGGATGTTCCCATATCTGCCTCCTGAGTGGCAGCTACAAGTCCAGAACGTGCCGCTGTCGTACTGGCTACAGCCTGGGCTCAGATGGACAGTCCTGTAAAAGTCAGTACATATTTTGCCTTGGATCTAAATGGGTGCATCATTGTGTATTTTAGTACATATATTTTCAAACAGACATGTCTTTGGCAGTATTTTCTGTTCTTAATGAACAAGAATCCTGACTCATGCCTGAAAAGGACGTTTTGCATCAGCATTATTTTTGATATTGACATGAGCCTTTAAGGTCGTGTGTCATATTACAATCGAGGGTGTGCCACACATGCCTCGGCCATAGACTGACAATGATAAAGATAAGCGCTAGTGGACACAGGCCCATGTGAAAGTGACGTTTCGTTATCGACCTGTCGCCAGCCTGATTGATTATTGCCATAATGAGGATTTAAGTTTGTCTGCATTTGTTGGCTGGTCTGATCAATTGCTGGACATTGTGTAGTTGACAATAGAAGCAGAAGATCAAATTGATGACACAATCTGAGGGCCCACCACTGTTCGATCGGGGTAACGAAGCATTGGGAGGCTAGCCATGACACATTTGATTTATTCCCCCCTCATAGATGTTCTGATGACACCAGCTATCTCTCTCTTGCTCGCGCTTTCCGTCTCCCTAAACATAATGAGATTCGGTGCTAAATGGTAGTGCTTCTTCATACAGCAGTCACCGTGGGGTTTGATATCTGGGTCTCTTGCAATGCTTAATTGTCTCCTGGGTAGTTGGTCTCCCTCACAAAATGATAAATTGAAGTGAGGCATGTGTGGTCCTCACCCCCAGCATCCCAGTCTCTTGGGTAGGGGCTGAGAGCGAGGAGAGGTCTGATTCTCTCACTGGAAGCCCTCCTTCATTCCTCCCCTTGCCTCTTCGGAGGATCCCAAAGGGTTCGAGAACATACAGCCCCCTGAGCGGCTGGCGGGCCGCCGAGGAGCTGCCTCAGCTTTCTAAGCCTCTCTGTTTGCCTTTCTACACAGACACCATGTTATTTTAGATCAGAAGCAGTGTTCACAGCCAAGGTAAGTATTGCCATTGTCTGTTTGCTCAAGCATTTTCCTTTTCCTACTGTCAAGGCAGCTTTGTAGCAGGAACGTGATTGAAGGGGGAGAGTAAAGTCATTGGCACTGATTACTGGCTCCATTAAGGTGAATGGATGGCCCAGGCTCTGGCTCACATATAAGAACAATGTGGCTGGTAAGAGGGTTTAATGCTGGGATCAGCATTGATGAATTAGACCAATTAATTGACAATAACAGTAAAAAAGGCTCCTTCCTTTCTTGCCTTGTAGAGCCCAAAAACGATCTCTTCCTGTTCTACGGTAAGGGGCGTCCAGGGGTCATCAGAGGCCTGGATATGAATATCAAGTCCAGCGATGAGCACATTGTGCCAATTGAAGACCTGGTCAACCCTCGAGCCATCGACTACTACGCAGAACTGGGACACATCTACTTCGCTGACACCACCAGTTTCCTTATTGGGCGACAAAAAATAGATGGAAGCAGCAGAGAGACGATACTCAAAGACGGTAGGTCTAAATTGTTCTTTTATACTCACTGCGGCATTTCCCTAGAATAAATTAACCTGACTGTATGCAGTATTTGATATTAGTTTCTTTTCTGACATTAATGTAAGGTCAGAGCCATTTCACATGCTCTTAATCTACTCAAAACACACTCAGTGTACTCAAAATGTACTACTGTTGTACCTCATCTGGAAAAGAAGAAACAACAGTTTAAAGATTTTTAAACTGGCTTTACTAGTCTGGCAAAATACTGCTATGTAGACAAATAGTTCTCAATTCTTTATATTTATTTTAACAGCAATTTGCCAGTAATGAAGCACAACACACTTCAATGTTAAAGAAACATTTGCTGTCACTGAATGACAATACAGTTTCTCACTAAACAGTTGTCCAAGTGAGTAAATGAAAACATTGCAAAGGAAACAGCTGCATATTTGGAAATTGATTTTATTCATACTTTTCCTTGATGACTGCATTTATAATAATTTCCCCGAGTGGCTCCCTGGGCACAACACTATGAGAGTGCCTTTGTTCTGGCAGTCCCATTTCACATTAAATACAGATATTCCTGTTTCTAGAACCAATCACATTCACAGCACTGCATTAAGGTTTTCTTTATACAAACCTTAGAAAATATATTTGGTGATTCTGTTGCAGAACTCGACAATGTTGAAGGAATCTCAGTGGACTGGATTGGGAATAATTTGTATTGGACCAACGATGGCTACAGGAAGACAATCAGCGTTGCCAGACTTGAGCGAGCCTCCCAGACCAGGAAGACGCTGTTGGAAGGGAATATGTCACACCCTCGGGCCATCGTGGTCGACCCTCTTAACAGGTCAGAAGAAGAAAAAAGAAAACTTAGTAGATGGTGGTAAATGAAAATGACACTTTGAAAATCCTACAGTCAGTAGCTCGAAGCCACCAACATTCATAAAAGGGGAAATAAACCTTTAAAGTAGGCGTAGAGGTAGAAGCATGGGTAAATGAACGACCTGCGGGTGGGCTGTGGGTGAAAAAAGGTTTTAAAAAGAAAAAAGGAAAGCAGAAAAAAGCCTAGTGTTGCAGTCGTTTTATCATAATCTTTACCATTGTACTTTCTGCCCTGACAGTTAGTGGAAAAAACAATTATCTTGCCACTCAACTTTTTTTCTTAGAATTAAAAAAAAAATGGTTGCTATGGTTTATATGATCTCACTTGAGCTCAGCATTGTGTTGCAGTAGGATGCATCTAGTTAGTTTTTTTTAAAATAAATAAATCAAACTAGGCATATGTTTGATAGAATTTACAACTGAACATTAAACTAAAAAAAGGACTTCAAACTTTGGCTTAACAAATTCAAGATGACATGTAAATCCATAATTTGCTGTAAAATATATGCCGCTGCAGTTCTCACATTTGTTTTTGCATATTTTTACCTCCAACAGCAATGTGGAGATTTAATCAGGTTTTTTTTAAAGCCAGATCTCAAGCACAACTGATTTTGTCTATAAAGCATGAAGCAGGAAAAAGTTATTTGAGGGGAGAATATTTCTGTGGTGTGCCATGGTATGATTCATAGCATCCAGATTTCTGACAGTGGATCTGGTGGCATACTAAAATCTGCCTTGAGCCCCCTCTTGCCTTGTTGTTGTGAATACCTAAACTACAGTATGGTTCTGCTCTTAGATAGCAATGACCACTGTGCCTTTTTGTAGATATAAATATCACTTTGCTTCAAATGTTAATCCTGAAGATCATCTGTTTTAGCAGACATCTGCTTTGACTGATGATCACGTCACACACCTTTCAAAAGGAAACGTGCACATGCAAACCAGCATGGTTACTGAGAGAACATCTGCTGCTTTAATGAGTACAGGGTTGTGATTTTTTTTTTTGTTTGTTTGTTGTTTTTTTTTGGTTAAAGAAAATTATGGCTCATGTGGTGGCCCAAACCTAAACCACAGCTACCAGCTCATTAGTCACAATTAACTTGTTCTGCGTGGCCCTCATACATCATCTCTTTCACATTTCTGCACAGATTTATATATGGGTATATGGGGGCCCCACCAGCAGAGATGGTATTTAACATATAGAGGAGATGCTGCAGAGCTCAAATTCATTGAGGGTCTTAAGGATCTTAAGGATTAACACTTTAAGGCTTAAATCGTATTAGCACACACCAAATCCATAGCAGTCAGAGATTAGTTTTCAAGCCTCAAGAGGGTTGTTCCAAACATTTTGCCATACACAGCTGTTTCACTGCTGTAGGTAAAGACACCAAACCAGAACCCAGAACTTATTATGATGTTTGTCCCTTCCGCTTTTAATATTTATCAAGTCCTAAATAACAATTAAGTCCACTATTTTGCTTATTTTCATGTGCTGTCTGGTTTTCGATCCGAACAATGACATAGACTCAAATATTAAAATCCAAGTCACATATACAGTATGGTATAGTGCTGCAGACTGTATATCAAAGGAAATGAAACAGATTTTAAAACGTCAAATCTCTGCCTATGGCTTTTGTAAGGGAGAAAATAAATTGAAACAACCGTGGCGAGAATGCATAAACTTTTGAGACTAATGAGGAAATAGCATGTTGGCCTTTTGTCAGAATTTCCGCCCTGACAGATATGCCACAGCAGCAGTGTTGGGGCTGGGGAATATCATGTCACTTTTTTGTATAAGGATTAATAACTTTTACCCCAACCCTCCCGCTGACAGCACAAATGATTAGAAAAGCTAGTTTTGGGCTTCAGAGGGAGCATTCAGCTTGAACCCGACAGTCCTTTTGATCTCTATCTGCTCTGCTGGAAGGGTCTCTTCAGGTAAAATGGATGCACCTCTCCAACTGATTTTTCGACTGCATTCTCGCTACCTCATTTTCTGCTCTGTTTGCTGCCTCTAGTCTGTGTTGACATGATAAGGACCACTACTGTCAACTTAACAGTGTCATACCTCTCTATCTTTGCTGCATTAGGAATCTCATACATGTATTCATAAAAAAAAAAAAAAAAAAAGAAAAAAGAAATCCACACACAAATAGCAGTAGGAGTGATGCTTTACTCAGCCTCAGTCAACTCTGGATGCCTGGACAGCGTGTATGTATATATGTGTTGGTATATGCAGCTTTGTAGCAACTTTTATACATGGGATTTTACTGTATGTATGCAACCCAAGTGCCAGCATGAATGTTGGCTTTGTACATTTTTGCAAACCATGGATATGTCATATGATATATGGCGGATATGTTAACACTTACATGTCCTCACATTTCAATTAAAAAAAAGCAACACTTGGTTAGGTTTAGGAAAACATACTGTTTCAGCCTAAAATACCCAGTCTAACCACTACAAACACAGCTGGAAATGTCCTGTCCTCTCGACGTATTTTCATTTCACTTAGCATGGCAATGCAACTGCACGGTGTCCATAAGTCCATCTGAGGTAGTGTCTATGCATGTGTGTGTGCACGTAGGCATGTGTGTGTGTGTGTGTGTGTGTGTGTGTGTGCTTGCGAGTGTGGAGGATTGCTGAATAATTTACGAGGTCGCAAAGATGACTTCAAGACAGAGGGAGTCTTCATTCACCTCCATATCCCATTCTGTTTCATCTTCCCTTAGCCGGCCCTCTATCATTGATGAGAAACAGGGGGCCACATGGCTCAGTCAGCAGCACTCAAACAGAGCAAATCCCCTGGGCATGGTTACGAGAGAACAGATCACGTCAAATCGTTGACCCAATCACGTTTCAAATACCACAGGCCCACTGAGAGTTGCAGTCTCGGCACACAAGAGATACACTGAAAACTTTTTTTTTTCTTTTTTTGGTGGGGAATATGAGACTTCTAACTTTGCCTTGATGTGCAGTCAAGCAGCACTTTAACTTGATAAGCCTGAATAATTTCTTAGGCAACGATGCACTCTCTTTTGACTGCCAGGGATGTTTGATTATTTGGTTTTACATATGGGAAATCTGGATTCCAGTTTATTTCAATTTCAGTCGGGAACAGTCTTGTCATGATGATAGTTTTTCTGAACTAGTGGTGATATGGTTGTATTTTGCAGTACAGGTTGTGTTCTCTGTAATGTTTCCTGTATGAATCAAAGCAGTATGTGTTAGATTCACTGGGGTGCTCAGTCATGCCTTCCCATGGGTGTACAGAACACAACCCACAGGACACATTTCATAGTGATATGGAATACATCATTTTGAGGGAAGCCTGCAGAAACATGCTGTCATATGTGCATTGATTGATAAGAAATCAAAGCTGGGGGAAGATGACGAAGGGAGCAACAAGCACAACCATCCAACATCAGTGTGTCAACAAGTAGGGGCAGGGATGAATGAGGAGACAGCTGAAATGAACTGCCTTAGATTGAATGTGAGATGTGATCAGTGTTAGTTTGGATCTGGCGATAACTTATAGGTCTTGCCTGGACTAAAGAAGCGGTGCTTATTATTTATGCTTATTGATGCCATAATTGTGTGTATTCCTATGTATGACAGCTGGATGTACTGGACCGACTGGGAAGAGGATGAGGTGAATGACAGCATAGGGCGGATAGAGAAAGCCTGGATGGACGGATCCAACCGCCGCATTTTCGTCACCTCCAACATGCTGTGGCCCAATGGTCTGACTCTGGACCACAGCACAAGCACCATGTACTGGTGTGACGCCTACTACGATCACATCGAGAAGATTCATCTCAATGGGACTGGAAGAATGGTGAGTTTCGATATGTAGAGATCATGCAGCGTAGTTAAATGATGCAAAAACTCATTTGCAAGAATCATTTCAGTTGTGATTCTGGCAGACTTGAGGGTTAGTCTGCTTGTGAGATTTTAATAGAGGGACAGAGGGTGGGATTCAAGATACCCTGAATAAACAACACCGAATAAACATGTTAATTTAAATGTGCTAATTTTATTGCAACAACACAACTTGAAGTAGTTTTACACCCTTAAATGCTCACTAAACACAGAGAGCAGCAAAATTATTCACAAAAGAATGTAATTGCAATTTTTACAGCTGTTTCTTTTCCAGATTCTTTCTCAGAAATAGATATTTATTTTGTGTTTCAGAAATTGACTTTCTGCCCGATAGAGGAACTTCGACATCTTTTTATTGAGTTGGTCATTTGATGGGCAATAGTCATGTCCAACTTATTGTCATATCTAGAGTAGGGATGAACTGATACTGCCACTACTGTTACAGATATTTAGATAGCAAATGGGCTGATAGCCAGTGCCGATACTAATGTTGAATGCTGTTGTTGTTTAGGTTGTTCTTGTTGTTATTTATTCCCCCTTTTGTGCTAGGGAAACAAAGAAACGTTTCTTATAAGAAATAACTGAATTGTTTTAAAGTCATTCAGCCCTTCATTACACGCTCTTTGAATGAGCACAAATTAAATCCTGCAAATTTATCAGACAACCTTTAATATGATCTTTATTCATATCAAAACATGTTTCAAAAGTCTTTTTGTTATGTAGATTTATATTTTACCCCATATAATATATTTTAATTCCCTCCGTAATATCTATTTTATATTGCTGTGAAAACATCAAATAATTTTTCACTAAAAACAAAAAAAAAAACAAAAAACAAAACAAAAACAAGATTATGTTAGAACACATGATGAGAACATTAATTTACCTTTGCTTACTGAACAGACCTTGAACACATTATAATGTAAATCTATGCAACCTCTATGAGCTGTTCGTTTCAGCTACCGGGTACTAAAAGCAAATGTTAACTAGCGCTCCTCCTGCCAATTTCAGCAAGGACTTGTTGTTTACAAAGAAGCATTATCAGGGCCCCTGACGTGTTGATAGCGAGTTTACGATGTCCATTTGTCTCAAAGGTGTCCTGGGGGGAAGATCTCAGTTTGGAAGCTGGGACGCCGCTAGTCTCAGCCGTGCCTCTTTACCCTGTGCAACATTTATGTGACACAACAGAAAAACATTGGTCACTGCCATCTTTGAATGTCATCTTATTCACCTGTAGGCTGATTGCAGTCAACAAAGTGACAATGCTCGGCTGATAAATTGGTGCTTATTGAAAGAAACTTGCTCCAAAATGTGCTACAACCCAGGAGAGTGTTTTACTGACAGATCCCCATTAGGGTTGGGTCGGTTCTCGGTAATACCAATTCGGTCCGGTACTCCGTCTTGGACCGGGTTTTATTTTTTGAGACCGACCGGACCGCATACTCGGGCAGAACGTACGCGGAGCGGACGCCGCGGAGGTCCGCCCGGTAAAAGTGGACGTCCACAAGCCCTGTGCGCGCAAAGCACGACCGCGCGGACTTCGCTCCGTGCACCAGTGTCACACAAAAGACTGTTCGGCATGTATTTTTCACATCGTGGGGATTTTTCACGGACATTTTTACACGATAATGGAGTCGATAATGGCGGACAATTTAGTCTCGACGAAATCAAGGAATGTGCCACTATGGCAACACTTTGGCTTTGAGCCAGACGAAGGAGGCAACCCTTGTTTGCACTGATTGAGTAAGCTGCAAAATTTATTTGTAAGGAATAAAAGAAACAACTTGTTACTGTCACTCTGTTGTGCTAAGGTCGTTTTTTATTTTAAATGAGTCAATTGCGCCCCCAAGTGGCGAAAATCCGGTATTACTGACTTGATGCGTTTTTGTTTTTTTTTTACAAAAACCGGACCGTTTTTTTTTCTCATACCGACCCAACCCTAATCCCCATCCTGCTTCATATTCGTTTAATGTTGTTCCCATGATAATTTGAGATTAAATCAGTGGTTGACAGTTTCAGATCAATATAATATGATCATTTTAGGGTCCCAAACTGATTTCTGTATTTTTGCAATGTTAATCTGCAAAGCAGTAAAATGATTGAAAACTGCTTTTCTTTCCACCACAACTGCCAACAAGACAGCCCTTCATCCCCAACTGCTCCCTTCTACTGTAGTTGTACTGGCATAAGCTAATGAATTATTTGCAAATGCTATTTAATCAATGCCAAGATTCTAGCAAACATTATTATAAGCAGACAGGGCCCGTGAATAAATTTGTGCAAAGAAATTGAATCACATTCATCATATACTGTGATCAAATAATTTCTAAGCCCATATTCAAACAGCTAGAACCCTGTTTGAGATGATTGATTTTTTTTGTTGCTGATAGTGTCTCTCCGTAGCCCTCCTAATCTTTTGATTACACTGCATGTTTGCTTCATGTTCCAGGTGGTGTACAATGGAAAAGAGCTGAACCATCCGTTTGGGATCTCTCATTATCGTAATTTCATCTTTTGGACGGAGTACATGAATGCCTCCGTCTTCCAGCTGGACTTGACCACCGGCGATGTCACTCTGCTGCGGAGCGAGAGACCACCACTATTTGGCCTTCGTGTCTACGACGCACAGAGTCAGCAAGGTTGGCTGCTTTTCCTTCATTTACTCCCCATCCAGTGCCACTGAACCATAGCTTCCCTAACAGGGAAAGTTTTACACTGAAAATAGAAGCACTCTCTGCAGCGTGTCCAGGCATTTGTATCCCCTATACACATCTCTTTAATGCAAAGCACTTAATGTGATATATACACTTGAGATTGTATGCCTATCTGTGTCAAATTTCATGGTGTAAACCAGTGCATTGATCAACAGTGACAGTGACTTTAAAATCACTTGGGGCTCTTCTCTATGAAGTTAAATAAGGTGACCAAGGCTTGAAAGGGTTTGCTCGATTCTGTAACAAATGATGATGGATTCATGCTGTTAGAAAGCTGAAAAGAACAGGGAGGAGAGGAGTCGGATGTGCCTGACAGTGGAGAACTGCCTTGGCCCTCACAGCAGGCGTGTCTCTTTCTATCCCATAATAGTTGTGTAAAAACAGTGTTTAGACACCCACTCCACAATCAGGGGAGGTCGAAGCTCCTGCTCTAAATGTAGAGATATAATTTAACACAGTCCAGTGATGTGGTTTTACACCCATGACGTGAGTTTGTTCCATCCTCAAAACAATAATTTTCATTCAACTTTAAAGCCTTGGATTGTGAGTGGGAAAAAGTACAATGCCAAATATATGATGCAGATGAATGGTTGGTTACTGCATACACAGCCTTGTTCACACCATAGAGAGAATTTTTACTGGACATTTCCCCATTGTTCATGTCACTGAATAGATTAATTGGCTGTCCAGTCCTCAGAGTATTAGCGATTGGCTTGTACAAAACCCAACACTTTATCTCATTGGCTCAGGCACTGCCTTTGGGCTCCCTGTTAAATGAAAGTGACAAAGGTGTCTTATGCCTTAACTTTATATGTGACAGTATTTTTTCCCCCTCTTTGTCCAGAAAGACAAATTATTCCTCCAAGAAAGATAAAAATGTCAAATGTTTCTCACCCACAGTGTTCTAATAATTCACTTGACATGTGGTTATAGATCACGTGGCGTACACCTCGTGTCTCTCCAAGACAGGCAATGAGTTTTGTATCAATGAGATGATTCATTTTTACAGGGTTTTAAGTGACCTCTGAACCTGTGCAGTTTACTGTACAAAGGGAAAACAGACAAAACAACAACAGAAACCTGTGGCACTTGGTATGGGCTTTAGAAAATGTAGCTTTAAATGAGCAAGACACCTTATTTGGGATCTATTTCTCCAGGTGACAACGCATGCAGTGTGAATTATGGGGGCTGCGGTACCCTCTGCCTTGCCATCCCAGGAGGCAGAGTATGTGCCTGCGCTGACAACCAGGTTCTGGAGAAGAACAATGTCACCTGTGCAGGTAGGAGGACATAATGAATCAGACAGAGCGAGAGGCCTAAGATCATCCTGTCCCAGTATACTGTAATCCTGGCTTCATCCTTTGGGACAAAGATCAAATAACAACCTTATCTTTTCACATGCAAATCTGCAAATAAACAAATAAATACAGGTGGGAGATTATCCCAATGGATTTCCTGAAATGTAAGCCAACTCCCAGTAGTTGCACATAGGGTCATGATACATTATTAACATGTCTTATGTTCCATTATAGCTATGCCGATAATTTCCCCTAAACACATACTTCATCGGAAGTCTCTGGTTGATTTTGTTTCACCACTTTCTCTCCCAGAACCCTCCAGCAGTGGCTTGGAGCCACAGCGATGTAAAAGTGATGAGTTCCAGTGCCATAATCATCGCTGCATACGGGCCCTGTGGAAGTGTGATGGAGATGATGACTGCCTGGATGGAAGTGACGAGGAGAGCCACAGCTGCTGTGAGGATGTTAAAATTTGTTTGAGCTGCAGGCCACCGCAGTACACGCAAACACACAAATACATAGAAACCGTACATGTTGATGCACTTACATGCACCAAGCAAGAAAAAGCACAAGCTTTTTAAGGCTGATTCTCTCCTGCTGTCAACTTCTATGTTCTTAAATGTCACTGAAGTAAGGGTGAAAAGTGTTCCTCCTCCACACTGCTGTCTCCCCTTTTGCTCTTGCTGAGGCAGTTTTGCTCTTTAACAAATCAGTCGGATAAACACCATGTTTGACGCTTGGATGCTGGTTCATTTTTTTTTTCCAGAATTAAAGCGCCATGACATAATCCTCTGCCAGAATTATCAGAAATGAAAAATCAATTATCTGCTCCCCTGCAATAGCACGTACATTCTACTGACTTAGTTTATTTTCGTGGGAATACAGTTGAGAATTTATCATATTAGAATAGATGAATATGGATTCCAGCTGTATAAGGGGAATGTCATGTTCTGAATAAACACATCTGGCATTTCCAAACACTAGGTTGTCTCAAAATCAAATGTAATTTATCATGCACATGGAGTAGTTTCACAATATCCACACAGAAATGTGCTCACGGTAATTGAATTTGATTTATGGATGGCGAGGCTTAACAAGTTTGAGTGGTCACCGTGTAATTAAAGTTAAATGACCTGACTGAGAAGAAAATAAGGAGCTCGGTTGCTAGTTCCAGCGAAGTCATTATGTGAAAGTGGTTTTATATAAAACAAAAATCAAAGCCCTGAAGACACATAACAAATATACTTAAGACCAATATAAAAATGTTATGGAGAGACCATTACTCTCAATTAAAGGACAAACCACCAAGGAGGAACACGAGTCTCAATTCTCTTCTGAAACATCATTTCCTTTTATGCTGGTCTATCAGTGCAAGATTAGTTGAGCTATGGACTGAATGAAATCCCACTAAGAAGCTGTGAATATACTTTGTGTGAACATGGAACTTTCCCCCCCATAGGACAGAGAGAGATCAGGGCCAGAAAATTAATAAAACCTTAAAGGGACAGTTCACCCCAAAATGAAAACTACATATTTTTCCTCTTACCTATAGTGCTATTTATTAATCAGATTGTTTTGGTGTGAGTCGTCAAGTGTTGGAGATATCAGCTGTAGAGATGTCTACCTTCTCTGTAATATAATGGAACTAGATGGCACTCAGCTTGTGGTGCTCAAAGCGCCAAAAATATATATATTTGAAGAACTTATCAATAATATCTTGATGTAAAGTGTGTATCTACCTGTGCACAAGAGGCTTGTGTTCATGATAGCGGGAATTGTAAACATTAATGGTGTCCCCCTTGACTGAGCTGTAATGTTAGCCTATCAGTTTGATGCTAGTTAGCCTCTGGGGGCAATGGCAAATGTTTTGAGAGATCTGGTGTAGCCTAGCCAGTGGATATTAGAAACCAAGTGATTTCAATGTTTTAATGGGATTTTAATATTTTAATCATATTTTGAATGTTTTTATTCTTCTGGGCATGCTGCAATTTTATGATTTTATCGTTAACTGCACACTGCACTGCTCACTTTACCTATATGTTTAGTTAATTACTCATGTTGAAGTGTTTTTATATGTTATTATTTAATGATCACCGACATCTGAGTACTACATTTTGTTCTTTTCATGTATTTGCATAGCTGGAATGACAGTAAAGAATCCTTGAGTCCTTGACTTCCTTTTCTGTGTGCAGGTCTTTCCGGCTTTTCTCTGTAATTAGATATCTGCATGTGAATGCAGATCAGTTTTTTAGAAAGCTCATGTAAAGCTAAATTGTTGTTGGATGATAGCTGAAAGGCTCCGAGATTGCATTTTGGCCTATGCCTTCCGCCTCCCCACGCAGACAGATTACCTGCCAATCAAATGTGATTGGCCAATACACTGACAATAAATAGAAATCAGAATGCTTGTGATACTAAATCTAAGATTCAGCATACATATACAGGTATCTGTTTTTAGAGAGTATACTGTTAGTTAGCTTAATGGTGCCTGGTAATACTTTTGGTGGGTATAGTTTGGTGACAAGAAAATAGTTCCTATGTGAATCTGCTCAACAAGGTCAGTGGATTATCCTGAGTGACCGGGTCATCATTTCTGGAAAGAGACATTGCTGTTGAGTTTTTCTAATGTATATTTTTTTGTTTTGTAAAGCCAAGTGCCATCTAGGTATGCATGATTGCATTTTTTACATGATTATATCCATGAGAACACAAGGCAACTCACACTAACCTAGCTCTATGGGTAATAATAAGAAGTGTGCATTTTTGATTTTGGGGTGAACTGTCTCTTTAAAATTAGAAAAATATTGCATTTCAGCAACCTTGGCTGTGGCTATAGAATTTAAAAATGTTTTGTTTTATACATTCAGTTAAGGCTTTGTGAAATACTCTTTCTCGTTTCTATTTGATGAGATTATTTATTATCTATCATGTCGGAGCTGCAAGGTCACCCACTGACTTTGCTTCCTTGTGAACTCTCTGCAGACAATCACACCTGTCCTGTCGATCAGTTCAAATGCAGCAACAATCGCTGCATTCCCAAAAGATGGCTTTGCGACGGAACAAATGACTGCGGTAACAGTGAAGACGAAGCCAACACTACATGCTCAGGTATGTGCTGTACCACTTGTATGTTTGTCTCAGATATAGTGTAGCTTTGGCTGCAGTTTGACCATTTTACAATTATATCACCTGTGTATTATTGGCAAAATCTGTCATCACCTTCAATCTATGCACAATTCTGTTTGCCTTAAAAAGCACATAACTTATTCTATGAATAGTTGCTGTCGTGTAATTTTCTGAAATATTCATATCAGAACAACATTTTGTGTTTCAGGATCAATTGACTGATGTTCTTTTAAAATTAATTTAGTTATACATTTCGATCAAGGTAATGAAGACTGTAAGATTTAAAGGCCTCTCATCTGTACAGTAAGGCATAAAAGGCTTTTCTCAAGCATCTTCTGATAAGATTCAGATGTGCTTTATTCATAAAAAGTCTGTTGTCAAGGCTGCTATCACCATTGTGCCTTGTGGCTCTCGAGCAGCTTACAATGCAATCAATTTCACTGTGTGAGAGCACTCTCCAGTATCAAAGAGTTTTAGCACCTATGAGAGGCAACAGTATGTCAGGAACACTTACAGTATATCACATTGCCTCCCATGTCCTCAATGGGGCCTCTTAGGAGCTTTTTATCCTTAGAGGATCAATCAATGAGCATTAGCCAGTGGATGATGAATGGTCCCTCATTGTCAGATTGACGTGCATATCCCACATCAGCCGGACACCCCGTGTCTGTTGTCCATGCATGCTCACCGTGTATGTAACTGACAGCCCACCAAGCAACAGCGCAGACCTTCCCCGCTCTACTGTGTGATTGAGTGATAAAAAGTTTGCACTGGGCGGACATTGACATCCCTGTGATGTAGTGATCATTAGCGTTGTTGTGCACATCCTCCATTGACTTATGCGTGTGTGATTGAATTAAGTGGCTTCTTTCTTCTTTCTCAGCCCAGCCCTGTCAGGCCGACCAGTTCTCCTGCCAGAACGGACGATGTATACCGCAACCCTGGAGCTGCGACCGGGAGGATGACTGTGGGGATATGTCTGATGAAATATCATGCAGTGAGTCACACATGGCTATTTACCACGCCATTCAAATGTAACTCTGTGCGGATTTAACTGCTACTGCTATTTGTGTTGCTCTGTTCGGTCAAGATGTAAAGTAGGCCAGCTCGGTGAATGAATCGAATACTAATAAGAGCATTTAGTGCATTCAGTGGTTGTTTACCCCTCACAGTTAAAAACATTATGCCTAATCGAGGTATATTTAAAGCTGCAATGAGTAAGATGTTTTCTCCTGTCTTAGAAGATGTCTCTGAGGGGCGATAGGGTTGTCAATTCACATGGGTGATTAAATGATTACATCATCAGACAGTGAAATTTCACAACTCACTTTACATTCCGCACTCCCAAAATGTGACTTATAATTTATGTCATTGATTCTGCCAAAAACTTGTCAACATTTACTGTTTCACCTCTAATGGAAACACAGTAAATATGTGTTGAATGGCACTCACACTGGATAATTTCAAGTAATTTGTGCATTTCAATAACACGCTTCTTTTTCTTCTTTTTTTTTTTTTTTTAACATAATGTCTTTAAAAGCACACCACGAAAAATGACTTCCAGACTAAGCCGGTGGGAATAATTGGACCTGTACACTTGCTATTTATGCTCCCATTTTACATAAGTGTTGCAGTGTCCACCAGTGAAACACATAACGGTATGTGCTGATACATGAAGAAGAGGCAAAGGATTTTGGTTTTACCCAACTAGTGACATGTCTGCGTGTTGCTCGGTTTTGTCTGGGGGTCCAATGCTGTGGTCAAGACAACATATCTCAAAAGCTATAAGATGGATTATCATGAAATGTGCTACAGATATTTATGGAACCCACTTGCCAAACAAAGAATACTAATCACATGTGCTTATCGTTAATTTGTGACCCACTGCATATTTTGCAAGTCTCTTTTGCGTGCATTTTTTTATAATTGAGAGTTTTAGTAGATGAATTAATAATGCTGTGTTCTTTGGACCAAGAAATCGACATGCGCTTGATACCCAGGGTTCCGACGCAAGTATGGAAAGTATGGAAAAGTATGGAAATACATTAGATCAGTTTCCAGGTATTAAAAAGTATGGAAAATGAAAAATAAAGTATGGAAAAATATTTATGTTTCCAGACTGTTACCACTGTTCTAAAATAGAAAATTGGGTATTTCCAAAAATAATTTAATCAATCCAGATCGTGTTTTATGCCGGGCCAAGCACAGTTTGTGTGAGAGCAAACGTCTCAGAAAACATACCGCCCCTTTTACCTGATTGACAAGTGGTATGACCAGTCAGCTGCCCCATGACCCTCCTCCAGCCCCCCAGGTATCAAGTTTCACACCAGCACTGCACCTTCGACAAGAAGACGAGTTGCACATGGTTCACAATGGGTAGATGCAAGTTTTTGGATGGATGGCTTGACAATACCGTATATAAATACTGGCTGGCCAAGGATTCCCAATTCACACACAGAGCTAGATGCAAGCTTTGCGTGAAATCGTTTGACATCGCCAACATGGGGGAGAAGGCGATTCTGAGCCACATGAAAGGAAAAAACACTGACGTCTCGTTACTGCATCGCTTGCACCCAGAGTCCCAACCTTTTTGCCTCAGCCCAGACATTGAACTTACCTGAGTTTTTATTTGCATGCCATTATGGTACTTGGCTACAATTGCCAATTAAGAACAATTAAATATGATGTGAAATATGATACACTGATATATTTACTCAGATGTCGCATATTCTCTGAGAAAACAAACAAACAAAAAAACAACAACACAGAAGTCTGGAAATTAGGGTATGGAAAACTATGGAATTTTGAAATTCCAAATGTGTAGGAACCCTGGATACCTATGCCATCACTGTGTAAGTGTGTGTGAATGTTTAGGTGAGCAGGTGGGACCTTCTGTGTCAGTCTTGGCCACCAGTGTATGAATGTGTTTGTGAATGGGTGAATGTGGAATGTAGTGCAAAAGTGCTTCAAGTGGTCAGAAGACTAGACGTAATACAAATGTAAAAACATCCAACAATATGTTCTTAAACATGAAGTAGAGGCAAAGGTTTTAGCCAGGTTGTGATATGTCTACCGTTTGCTTGGTCTTTTTAGTCAGTCCACTGCTGTAGTCCAGTCATAGTACCTCAAAACTGTGGGTGGATTGCCATGAAATTTGCTCCAGTTGTTGATGTTGCCCATTTGTCAAACAAATGCCATCACAGCTACTTATCATTAATTTGTGACTTCTTGAATATTTTGCAAGTCTCTTTCGCATGCATTACTTTCTACAATTAAGAGAGTTTTAGGAGCTGAATTATTGATGCTGTGTTCTTTGGACCAAGAACCCGACATGCCCTCACTGATGGCATCAGCTTAGAGGGGTGGTGCTGAATAAACTGCATACTTTTGTGCAGCTTTTCGCTGTACTTAAGTCGTGTCTCAGTGGTATTACACAAACTGCCAACTTCAGTTAGTAAAAGTGGCTGTCTGGATTAATCTTGGAAAACATAAATGAGAAAAGTAAATGGCACGCCATGATGGCCTGAGCTTTTCTGGAGTCCTTTGAAGATGTATTTAACCTTTTTTTGTGGAATGGAAAAGAGCGTTTTAGGCTGTAGAATATGTTTTCAGCAGTGGAGTTGAACTGGATGAATTAGCAGCATACATTTAAAAGATGGGGGTAAAGGTTTTAGGATTCCCCTTTAATCACTATTTGTATTAAATCAGCCTCTTACAGTGATAGATGTTTGCCAAACGCTGCACTGTGCTGTATCGCCTCAGCCTCCCTTTGTGTGTCCTAAGCTGGTTCAATACGCAGTCACAAACAGCCAGGGTGTAAGCAGTAATTAAAGTTCATGCTCGGCTTCATTCAATCATAATCAAGCTGTGCAGCAAAACATATTCTCTCCCTTACTGTTGTCTGAGCTTCCTCAGGCATTACTTCTCTGCAGGCACTCTACTGTGCAGCTCTGGCAGCTCACTTAGCTTCAGTGGAACTACTGTGGGTTTTGGAACACCTGAAGCTCAGTGGTGGCCGCCTTAGAGATTGATGCTAATTTGGATTTTGTTTGTCAGTAGTTTAGTAGTTGTCACACAGTGTCTCATATTGGGCTCTCTGTTCACTTGAAGCTGTCATTATTTATGGATGCCGGTGTTCCATTTTTTGCCAGGCTCACTGTTTACTTGAAACCTTCATTATTTATGGATGTTCGTGCTTCATTTTTAATGAATGTTAAATTCCAACCAGTCATGTGCTGTCAGTGAGACCTAACGCATTTGTGGGAAATACAGAAGACACTTGTCTGATAAAGATACAATATGTCTTCTCGACAGAGCCTAAGGTATTCCAGGCAGCAGAAGCAGCAGCAGATGCCAACAAATCAATGCAAATGTAGACTTGCATTTCATACTGGAGTCAATAACATTTCAGGCATCCTGTAAGGATATGTGAAAAGTACTGTACATACAGTATCTCGAAATTGGAGGCAAGAATGGTATCTGATAGGAATACAAATGTCAATTCTGACACTGTCGTCAGTCCACAAAATACACTAGAGTTTGCACTCCTGTACTTACCGCAGCACTGCTGGAGAATATTGATGCTTCAACGTAGACCAATTTAGTTCATGAAGTCTCCTTGACTGCAGTGATGGATGTTAGATCGGCCATTGGCTGACAACAGAGGTGGTGATTTGCTTTCACTCGCTTACATTGTCAAGTTAAGTTTATACACATATTTATCGTAGTGTATCACATACATGTGTATTGTCTTAATTTTCTGTATAGGCCCACATCAGCAGCAAAAACTTAAAACCCCTCAGCACACAGAGAATTGTAATAGGGATGTGAAAACTTGAGATATCCACTTCAATGGATTTGCACAGGGTGCATTGTCGGAGGAGATAAACAAATACAGAAATGAAATATAAAAAAGTCTGTCACTGCATAGTGATCGTAAAATATCAAACTTTTTTTTTTTAAACAATATTCACAAATATCTCAAGACAAGCACAAAGTAATGCATCATTTACCTTTCCCTTTCTGCCATGTAACCCCAATGTGGACTCAACTCAAGGTAGTTTATCACTGTGTATCATCTGCATAAAGACCAGATCAATGGGTGCCCATTAGCTCACCTGGTAGAGCAAGTACCCCATGTGTAAAGGCTTTGTCCACAGCCCTTCACTGCTTGTCACCCCCTCCCCCCATTGATTAAAGTCAAAAAAGCCCTAAAGAAAATCTCAAAATGATGAAATGATGTGACTGTTGTAGCTCTTTGTGCAACTCACATTGTCCTGCAAGGCTCCCTGTAGTACAGAGCATTAATCAAGAAAGGAAGTCCAGATTATTCCCAGGTTTTATTTTCCTCTTCCATCCAGAGGCGCCTATAACACTAACACTGACAAGTATTGCTGAAGATTTAGCACTGGTGGTACAAGCAGGTCACAATGTTCACTTGTTCTGTGAAATATCAACATCTACTTGGCACAAAATTCAGCCCAGACATTCATGATTCCCAGTATTCAATCACGGTGACTTTTCTGAATTTCTTGTTTTTCCTATAGCACCACCATGATGTTGATATTTGTAGTTTTTATATGTATCGTCTCAACAAGTATTAGATGCATTGCCATGAAATTTGGTACAGATATTTGCATAAGCAAGACCCCACAAAGCCAATATCATGGCTGCTGACTTTACAGTTTGTTTTTTATTTCTTGTTTCAAAATCTTATTCATTGACCATGATCTAAATGATGCGGAAAATGATGTCCTCCTTCAAAAGCTTGGAGTTGATGGTTTCATTTCTATTCATTAGAAAATGTTGCTCAATTACATTTGATTGTCCATTCTCAAAATTGTGAATGCGAGTTAGTCTAGAACCTTTCAGTTCATTTTGGCTTTCCAAGGGGCATTTGCAACGGCCGGGAATCAAAATGCCTCTTGATGCGATTGGATGTGATGTGGTGCTGAGTGACAGACAAATGTAAACTGACTACAGCGTGCAGACAAGGGCTGTGACGGTGAAGCATCATTAGGTCTGTGAGCGAGTGTTGCTTTTTTTCCATCAGAATTTTGAAAAAACAGTACTTCAACAGAAAGTTCTACATTAGCTGCAGCCATCTTGGTTGGTCTAGCTTCAGCATCCCTGGCGCAAGGTGCGCAAGCCACAAATGACGACATCTTGTATTTCTTGTTGTGAGTCATTGTCTCAAACATGCCCGATATTAGATTAATGACGGTGAGTCTACCGCCATCTTAGGAAATCAGTGTAAAGGAAGTGTGGACCAGACACCTCTACCAGAGCACATAAAACATGAGCTTGCGGATTTATCTGTTTCCCAGGCTACGATACAACTTGAATAATGTCAAGACTGTTTTCTGCTTGCTAACAAGAGGGTTCCTTGTTTGAACTCGGGGTGGGGGGTTCGTGGAGGAGCCCTTCTGTGCAGAGTTTGCATGTTCTCCACCTGTGATAGTCTGGTGACCTGTCCAGGTTGTACCCCGCCTCTTGCCCAATGTCAGCTGGGATGGACTCCAGCCCCTCCCTCCCCCGCGACCCCTAACAGGATAAACAGTTACGAAAATGAATAATAGATCACATTGGCATAGTGTAGGTTGTAGGATATGGTGCTGTGGCAGTTTCCAGTATTATTTGTTTAGCTTGTGTTGGAATTGTACTTAACGTGTACCTGTATACAAACCTTTACAGCCTTCCCAACCTGTGAGCCCCTCACCCAGTTCAGCTGTTCCAATGGACGATGCATCAGTGTGAAGTGGCACTGTGATTCAGGTGAGAACAAAAACTTTGGAAGATACTTAGTGTCAAAGCTTCCTTGTAAATGATTTTTTCTGGTGATTCCACTATTGCATTTATCAGTGAAATCTTTGTGTGTTTTCGAGCTCTCGTCTTTCATGAGTGTTTGTGCATGTGCATAGATGACGACTGTGGAGACGGCAGTGATGAAGTGGGCTGCATCCAGTCATGTGCCAACACCCAGTTTCAGTGCACCAGTGGTCGCTGTATCCCAGACCACTGGGCCTGTGACGGTGACAACGACTGTGGAGACTTCAGTGATGAGAATACAACCTGCAGAGGTGGATCATCACGTAAGAATGCCTGTATTACCCCTTTTAAATGCTGTGGAGTGTAGAGGTAGTTAAAAAGTAAACTAATATCCCCTGCAACATAAGATGACCCTTGTTGTTATCCATGTCCAGCATAAAAATATTAGTTGTATCATGGTAATGTATTTATAATCAGCCCATCACTGTATTTTGCACATTTGTTAGTTTCTTAAAAGATCTGCCTCCCAGCCAAGTTGTCTGCTATTACCTTTACGAGAGTGTAGCTGCTTTTATATCTGTTTTAGTGTGCTAATTATTTTATTTGCAATTCAAATCATGTTTAAATTTAGGTCTTGTAATTACAAGTTTAACAATTAATCAGCTTGAGTCCAATAACTTTGTTTTCACACTCACGTGTGACTAATCTTATCTAGTCTCTGTTTGGGGGAATTTTACCATCAGGAGTTGAATCATTTAATCTAATTACCACAGAAAGCTCCTAGAAACTCACAGCTCACTTGCTTGTCACTAGAATGTGTAAACTATTCATCAAACCGTTTCCTGATGGGAACTGCAGGCTTCTCCACTCCCCCGTGTCTGCTTCTGCTTTTACCCCAGGGGATTGAATCTGTCTTAGCTTTGCCTCGGCTGTTGAGGGAATGTTTTTTTGGGGGGTTTGACTTATAAGTATTAAGCAAATCATCTATACTGAATTCACAATGCCATGACTTAAAATAATGCAAGTGCTTTTTATTATGTTCTGCTGAAAATTGTAGAATGTATCACAAAACTTGTGAGAACCTGTTTGGTGTAATTGTAGCTCTCTTTGTGTTTTTTGGTTTAGAATCTAATCTTTGATTAATATGCCAACACTTCTGAAAGCGTGTGCATGGGACTGACATGAGACCGTCATGACCATAAAGGAGTCTTTATGAATGTGTACGACTGTTGTCATTAAGTGTAAATCAGTCAATTATGTAATTCTGATTGTAAAGTTGACATTTTAGGAAACTTGACATTAGCAAAGATGCACATTTTTTGTACAGACAACACCTGTAAAATAACACTTAATGACATTTTAATGACTAGTGCAAATTGTGCCACTGTAGTTAAGATCAAGGAAAATATAACACAGTTATAGTGGTCTCATCACAGCCAGTGTCAAAACCAACCACACATGACACTTTAATGTAATGTTAGCACATAAAGCTAAATAGTCTGTTTAAGTTTGATATGTAGGCTTACTGTGGCATGTTTATGGAAGGTTATGTTCTTAGTTAGTGTCAAATTGTTCTAATGAAGACATCTTAAACATTGTTAAATTTGCGATAAAAATCATGATGTATTTTGCACTGCCATTTAATTTATACATTCATTCTCATCAAAGGTTATGTTCAGTAAGTCTGAGAACTGCAGTGCAACACATCATCATAGTGTAGCGGCATCAGGTTCTTTTCTTTGTAATGAACCCCCGCTGGAGAAAGAAATAGTGACCAGAGTCATTAAACAAGACAGAAACATCCTACAGACAGAAGCCTTAAATGCTGGAAGTGAAATAACTTGCCTCTCTGGAACTAACTGACCTCTTACTGTTGCCAAGTGCCCCGCTTGCAAAGATAAATATTATATTTATAACAGCAAAAGATGCCTTGTAAAATAATAGTCCCATACCGTAGTGCCTTTGCTCATGACAGTGTGCTGCGGATCTGTGAAACAGTAATTGTTGAATGACTTTTGTTCCAGTGCTGCCAACTGTGATCGAGTGCAGCGGAGAGGAATTCCACTGTGTCACAGATGGAACCTGCATCCCAGAGCGCTGGAGGTGTGACGGAGACAAGGACTGCGAGGATGGGAGCGACGAAAAAGACTGTGAGGGCACCAAGAGGATGTGCGACCCCAAGGCCAAGTTCACCTGCAAAGATACAGGTAGTGAATACAGCACACTGCTAAACAACACACTGAGGTCAGACATGAAAGACACAGTGACGAGAGCTATGTTTGCATTAAAATGTGCCGTAGGTGGTGCTTCCTTTTTACTTTTACTGTGAATCATGTTTTAGTCAAGAAGTAGTTAATGAATAATTGATGCCCACAGATGTTATAAAGCGCCAAAATATCTTCCAGAAGTTTTAGATAAAGCCTGACATATGCAAACACTGTGGTGGTGTTGATTTTTACACTTCATTAGTCAACTGACGCTGACAATGTTGGTTGGTATAAAATCTGATCCTGAGGCGTGAAAACTAAATTCAGCTTGCATTTGAGTTCAGTGAGTAAATCTTGCATCATTCGCCTGAGACAGATGTTATAGTTTTAGCACTGTGGCAGCCTGGCTGAACTAATTTAAGCATGGACAGCAACATTCAGCAACAGAGAAAAAGCCAAATCAGCTGACTTGATTATTGCCAAATGGAGTACAGACAGATTTTCCTTATTTTGTTTCTTCGTGTTTGAGAAAATCATCTAAGGTTCACAGCACTAAACCCTCACATTGAAATTTGTAATAAACAACATCTCCTCAACATTTTCACTCCAGTCTTTTGCTCGGGTCTTAAAAGAGGAGAAAAGTATCTTAGTCATTTCATGAAAAAAATTTTGTGTGTGTGTGTATCAGTTATAAATTAAGCTGCCAAATTGCTCTCTTTCCTTTCATAAAGGCTTCACTCTCTGTACAGGCTCCGGGGGCTTAACCATTCTCCACTTTAGAGCAGTGCAGTGAAGTTTGCATGTACTTGTTCGACCAATTAGGACAGACCCTTTAAATGGCCTGTATAAACCCCCCATGTACCCAAACCCAGCATCCACTTTCTTTCAGCAGCTGAAAGGAGAAGGTCAGAGAAATATTCAGCTGCTTTCTGTCTTTAGCTCCGCAGCTTTCCGCTCATCCCTTGACAGTATTATCAAGAACGGAGGCAATGCTGCGTGGTGAAGGGTTGGTTAGACCACACAATTATTATTCACTTTAATTCTGCAGTGTCACACCCCTGTGCACTGGTGCAGTTTGTTCTGTCCTCCACAGGAGAACGGAGTGCCTTCTCCAACAGTATTCAAAAGGGTTTCTGTAAGCGGGCCATCTTACGAGTTCTGATGGATTAAAGGGAGACAGAGGCGCATTTCTGTTTTTTCTTTTTAACTTCTAAGATTAAACAAAAATATGAGACTTATTCTAGACCTATGCCTAGTCTGAATACTGGAAACGCGGATGCTTTTTCTTGATCATTCCACCTTTGGGGATGGATGCATTTCCACATGTGAAAGATACAATGCAAACAAAGATAGAAAAGAAGGAATTTTCAATGTGGAGCTTGGGCTCAATGCAACAATACAACTAAACAAACTGGGCTAACCCACCCCCGCATAGGTTTGTTTGTGAACATGTCCAATTGGAAAAAAAGTATGCATGGAAAAACAAGAAAACTCAAACAGAGAATAGCGTAGCAGACAGTGAGCGTCCAGTAGTTTTTCCATCTGCATTTTATAGAAATGGACCATCCAATCTCTCCTCTTAAATGTATTGGAATTTAAAGGGTATCTTAATTGAATAGAGATTAAGTGACTCCTGTAAAAACAGGCTTTTAAAATGTATAAATTGGACACCTTAAGCTCAAGAGTGTAAAATAAGGACTTGGATTTGATGCAGATTTGGTGAAGTTTAGAGGTTTCCATTACATTTTAGTTAAAGGAGAGATGTGCTGAAGTCAACTGTAGATTGGCATACAAATGAGTTTGGGCTATCCATGGCGTTGAATGTACTTGGTTTTGAACAAAACAATTGAAAGAGTATAACATTCACTATTTGGTATTGAGAAGTGGAGGTTCAGCCTGCCTACCCAGTGTTGGTTTGAGAGATATGTTTGTACTGTGAAAAACTCCAAACCATTTTGATGTGGTGGCTGTATTGTAGTATGTTTTCCTTTTTGTGGTCATTTGGAAATGCTACCACCTTGTCTAGGTCTCCAAATTGGGGGGCCTATGTCTGACAAATGGAGCAATAGGCCAGATGTCAGTTCTTGGAGGAGCAGCTCGTGTTTCAGGCTCTCAATTATGTGCTCAGTGTTCAATCTGGCAGGGCCTCTCTCAGGGTTGCAGAACATCCAATGTTCACAGGCTCAGTCCAGGATCACTGCCTCAGGCGAAATGGAGGGGGTTTTTGAATATTCAGTGTCTCCAACCCATGACTATCTCTAGTAGGTTGGGCTACGTAAGCCTCTACCCATGTCTATGTCTTACACTTTTGTGTATTACACACTCTCCTGCAGAGGTGAGTGGTCGAGCATATACAGCCTGTTAGGAACCTTTGCACTAGGCTGTCAAGCAGGCACGTGCAGAGGGGGAGGCTAAAGGTGCATGAGCACTTCCCCCTTTGCTCCTTAAAGTCTAAAATGCCCTTTTGTAAAGGCGTTTTTTATTGTGAAGCCCTTTCCATGGCCCTTGTGAAGCAGAACATTTAACAATTAATATAAATTAAGCTATAAATACAATGACCTGGCTGCCATCAGTCAGTCCACATCACATGATGACCTGTATCACATGCAGCAGGTAAGCAGTCATCAGGTATGTGCCCTCAGTTGCTACACAGTGCGCCACAGACAGAGGGTGCATCTCAGCAGTGACGTTTAGATGTTGAGTTTCATTTATGTAAATGATTTAACACATTATATTTATAGCAGTAGCGTTACACAAGGTCTTCTTCGAATTGTGCATCAGTTATGCAACATAAGTTTAAGAGTGGTCCTTACTGCCGGTTCTTACTGTGAAGCCAGCCAACGCTTGAATTTTGATACTTCTCTTTTATGGTATGGGTGTTTGAGAAAAAAAGCCCATATTTTACCCATATTTTAGCAATAATTTCTTACATTTGTTATGCCAAAGTGAAACAGCATTATATGGCACATTATATGTAATCCGATAATAATTAAATATGAATTAATCTACTGTATTCTCTGACCTTTGATAAAACCTTTTCTTCATTGGTTAGCTTACAGGATGACCCTGATTATACCCATACGAAGGTTTTTATGGTTTTATTCTGTACGGAGTTTGCATGTTCTCCCGTGTCAGCGTGGGTTTTCTCTAGCTACTTCGGCTTCCTCCCACAGTCCAAAGACATGCAGGTTAATTGGTGACTCTAAATTGTCCGTAGGTGTGAATGTGAGCGCGAATGGTTGTTTGTCTCTATGTGTCAGCCCTGTGATAGTCTGGCGACCTGTCCAGGGTGTACCCTGCCTCTCGCCCAATGTCAGCTGGGATAGGCTCCAGCCCCTCTGCGACCCTCAAGTGGATGAGCGGTTACGAAAATGGATGGATGAGATGGATGTACATTTACAGTTTTACTGACAATAAAATGCTGCTCTTCCATGTTACATTCTGTTTCAATATGGGTTGCTATAACTCAACACATTATGCTGTAAATTATGTTTGTGTGTGGTGTTATTAAAATATTGTTAAATGTGCCCCTTTGTAACTTTGAGCACTTGCCCCTCTAAAGGTCTCTGCACGGCCCTGCTGTCAATGTAGAAATGATTAATTCATGCTGAAGATGCATGTAGGATGTAGCATGAAGGATGCTTGTGATAAACATCTACAAATGCATTAAATTCCACAGTTTGTTAAACTAAACATACAATTTAAATCAATCAAATCTAAAATTTAGCTAAATGAAAAAGGATGAAACTTAAAGGGATACTTTGCTGATTTTTAACCAGCTTTGTATCATTACAGTGTGTGTAGTAAGTGTGTAAATGAATTGTGCTAAACCCTCTATTCCGTCCATCTTGTCAGCTTATGGAACTCCTTGCTCATTTGCCAACAATATCTGACTGAATGAGTGCCGTATTACTGTATTGAACATTTCTTGCCCAAAAAAACATATTTAGAAACATATTTTAGTGCCCTGTTTAGCTGTCATACAAGAATTTGTGAACGGGAAGTGGGCGCCCAACTGTTTCCTGTATGGCAAAAGCAGAAGCTTAAAAAGATTATGTTACTGTTACATTGTAGTGCACTATTTAACTGTAATACAAGACCATTTTTTTAGCAGCCGTCCACCATATTGTTTTCGGATGAATTGAAACTGACTTGCATTATGTCACCTACCATTATGGTCATTGGTCCAGTGCATTACAGTGCATTCAGGGAGTTGTAGGTTTTCTGCCTCTTGAGCAAGAGCAAATACCACAGCCCTTTTTCTCTATTTTCTCTTGTCATATAGCACCAATTTCAAAAGCATTTTTGTCTTTCTATTACATAGTAAAATCCATTTTTTTGAAAAGACCATCTTTCCAGCAGTGAAATACCTCCTCATACCAGAGCATTGTACAGAATTATCTGTAATCTTCTGAGTTAAAAAAAAAGCATGCAGAGAATGCCAGTAAACATGAAGATCCTTGTCAGTATAGAAACACAAACGATAAGCAAAGTAAAACAAGTATAAATTTACTCATCACTTATTTAAAATAGATCTTGGGCCACGCTGGGAGGAGGGACCAACATAAATAAAAAAAAAGTTACCATCTCTGTAGGAAATCCATCAGTGGATATGCTGCATTTTTTTGTTGAATAAAAGATGAAACTTTTAGATGTTTGAGCCTTTCTATATTCAGAGAGAATATAAAAAATATATTTCCTACCAAAAATAATAAGCAATGGTTATGTTTAATAAACTCTCTCAGAAGTACTCCTTCCCTTTTGTGCCTCCCACTCCCTGAATTAAATCATGTTGTTGTTTTTTTCCTTTTCCAGCCACATCCTTGTCCCCTTCTTTGCTTCTACAGATACATACACTCATAAAACTTAAGAGTTGAAGTTGTGAGATTTTCTTGCAGTGTCATTCAAGGTGAAATTGCCAGACTCAAGACTGGCTAATTCAGTTATACAAATGATTAACCTCCTTGTCCGTGTGCATTACCACAAACACACATTTTGATGAACATTTCTGTGCCCCGAGTGTCATCCATATTTTACGCATGAAAAGCTTGTGTACTTGAATAGCACATAAGCTTTCATTTTCACATGCAGCTGCACTGGCATGATATTAGGCATTTAGAAAATCGAGGGCTAAATCAAAAGTGTCATCTGACTATTTTTGTAGGGACAACTGGAAAGCTTGGAAGTGATGTGAAGCCAAACACACACAGAGACACACCTGATCTCACACAAAATCTACACACCCACAGCAGTCGCTCCAGCCTCCCACATCGGTTTGCACTGATCCGGCACCAAGCATAAACCAGTGGGATCCCAAAACCCTATGATGTAGCTTTGATGGAAAAAGTGTAAATTGGAATATGCTGCGATCCAGGCTTCACCTGGGAGCTTGCAAAAAAAAAAAAAAAAAAAAAAGATACATCCAGGTATCTGAATTGTTTTCTTCCTTGCCCCCCTTAGTAGTTCCACCTACCTCTTTCCAACCTGCACGGTGAGGGAATTACAAATTACACTCTAGTGGAGGAATAAGTGCAAGAATTATTGATCTTGTGTGGACATTTTTCATCAAGTTGAACATTCAGCACAGAACTGAGAACGACTCTGTTGTTGACTGAGGCCCAGTGGCATTTTTGCTATCTAGTGTTTATTAAGGAACTGAGTAATGAAACATTTGTCTCATCCAAAACTTGAAAATGCAAGCACTGAATGTACCAGTTAAATTTCAGTCTGTTAAGTCAGGGAACTTTTTATGTGAAGCCCGTATCATCCAGTACTTATTACAGTGAAATTAAATCACCCTTACTGCAGTGAAACTTTTAATTCTTATTTTTTTAAGTGCTTAAAAAGTTTTAAAAAGTCTGCCAGTTTCCGCATTTCATTCTCTGCAGGCAAGTGTATCACAAAGAGCTGGGTGTGTGATGGAGACATTGACTGTGAGGACCGCTCAGATGAGGAGTCCTGTGAGTCTGCTGTCTGTAAGCCACCCAAGTACCCTTGTGCCAACGACACCTCTGTCTGCCTCACACCTGATAAGATCTGCAATGGCAAAGTGGACTGTGCGGACCGCTCGGATGAAGGCCCCATCTGTGGTATGTTTGTTTTGTCTGTGTATTTAATCTCTCTTTTTGTTTGTTTGTTTAGTTTTGTTATCCTGCAAGATGCTAAAATGTGTATTCTTCTCAAATACACTACATTGCCAAAGTATGTGGATACCAGAACATTTAATTGCTGCAAAAGTCATTCCACCACCATTGGCATTAATGTGCTGTCGTAATAGCTGCTACTCTTCTGGGAAGGTTTTCCACAAGATTTTGAAGGTTAGGTACTGACCTACCATTCCAGTTCATCCCAGAGGTGTTGGATGGGGTCAGGGCTCTCTGCAGGCTAGTCAAATTTCAACATTCCTTAAAAAAAAACTTTCTTTTGGGACCTGGCTTCCTGTGTTCCATTCAACCATCTATTTTCAGGTGCTAATTCAGGACTGGGTGAGGGTGGTAACAGGCTAAGTGTGGTAGCTCAAACAGTATTTCCCTCTGTTTGGCCAACCTAGTGGCTGGAATAGATTTTGGCATTGTACGTGTCTGCAAACCACGGATATATTACAAGTACATTTCATATAGCAGATATGTTGAAACTTTTTGATTCTTTACATTCCAATTTTATAATTTTGTGTTCTGGCAAAGCTGTGGTTAATGTGTGATTAGGTTTAAGCACAAATACCACTTGGTTAGGGTTAGGGAAAGATCATGTTTTTGCTTAAAATACCCAGTTTGATGGCCATAAACATTGCTGGAAATGTGTCCAGAGTCTCCCACTCATTCATTTATTTGATGTCAGCATTTGCTGCCACATGTTAATTTTCTGTTCTTGGAACTGGACTGTTCATTAGAAGTGCGGTTGGAATATATGTATACCATTCTGTTATTCAGAGCACCACACTCTAAGAGCATACTCTGGGCACAGACAGCAGGACACCAGGTGCATTGAAAGTGAAACTTAACTGTTCATTATTTTATATGGAAATAGAATATTATATTTCTTAGAACATCAGTGCTCTCATTTTAGTGTTGTCCATTTTTTTCTAAACTACTTTAGATGAAACTGTGTTCCCTTGGAAACTGCGCACCCCACAGTCCAGTGCAGAGTTTGCTTTCACTCACCTCTGCAGCAACTGCTCCTCTAATCGATCACTCTGACCTGATGGGGCTGGTCAATCTGACCACAAACTGGTTAACCAATCAGTTCTCCACCCTGTGATTCAAACTCAACAAACTACTGCTGAGGACACATTTATTAGAGTTCTGCCTGTGCTGCATTCACTGACTCATAAAATTCTTGCATAACTACAGCTGGGACATGTCTTTAAAAATGTCTCCTTTAGTTGTTTGTTGGTCTCAAACTGTGGTCTGCTGCTTGGCAGGTGTCTCGCCTCAGTCTCACATCATCCACCATCTCCTCCTCCTCCTTATGAGAAACTCAGCTTATATGCAGTCTGAACTATATCAGTTCAGAAAGGTTAATATGATACATAGGAATTGTAAAAACTTAACATAGTTGTGGTGAGCAGAAACATACAATGCCAACATTTTATTTTGGCAACTGGACTAATTTTGTCCCTGTTCATAAAGGAAAGGGCTGTATTTTCAACAATTGGGACTAAGAAGCCTTCCAAAAAGCCCCTGACAAACGTACAGAAAAGTATGTGGATAGATTATCAAACACTTATTCCCTGGTGGTTTGAAAGTTTGTAAGACGTAGCACATCAGTATGTCCCAACCAGTCACAATTTTGGCTGAATGTACTCCTTCCTGAACTTCTGACCTCTGAGGCGGGTGATGGACTGACAAGTACGACTTTGAGAAGTTTGAGAAGTGTATATTGATTTTTTGACTTTAAGTTATAAAAACTTGGACTCCGTTGTTACCAACAAAATTCAAGCTGACCACATCTGCTGTTCTTCCCTTGGAGCTTTTTTTAGCTATGCTTCAAGCCTACAGGGGGTGAGTGTTTGATTCTCAGAAGATATATTTTGGGTAAAGCATCGCTTTAAAGTGAAGAGGCCCAAGAAAACCTGTCAAAAATAATGACTCCCAGAGACTTCTAGGCATTTTGGTTGTTGCAGTGCTCCCAATGTGTTTGAGGCTCTTTGATTGACATTTCTTGCAAGGACCGGCACATTGGAGTTGGTGGTGTTAGTTTAAGAGCAAAGAAAACAAAGAAAACAGTGACAAATTAATAAACCACATTTACATTGCAAATGAAAACTGCAGCACATTCTTCTTCTTTATTTATATATAGCTCTTTATTCCTCACAATTTACTTTTTTATCAGCTTTGCAGAGTTGCAGAAAAATTAATTGGAAAAGTTGAAGCACTGTCACCTCCTCCAGTTTTCACTGTAGAGGTTCAGGACATGTCACCTGCTGAGGCACCTCAGCACTCTTGCTAACTCGCACTTTAATTTTTCATCTGATATTATATCATGGGTTCTTGAAGAACACCTCCCAGATGGGCCCTGCTACATCCTTTCCTTCAAATAGATCAGCTTAGAGCTTGATGAGGAACCGGAGTGTGTTGTCTCAGAGTCCAAAGGGACAGAACATGAAGTAATACTCCACCTTCCCGATGATGTGGACGTGTTTGTCTAGCAGCCTTCAGAGGAAGGAAACAGATCTCATGTGACAAGCCCCAGCCATCTAATCTCTTAAAGTGAGCAGTGTAAACATGGAGGTTCATTTTCGAGAGCGTCACTAACCAAGCCTCAGGGGGGCCCTACAGGACCTTTGAGTGTCTGTGTTATCGTAGCTGAAAAGAGGGCCTCTGCCTCCTCCATAGACAATAATGTGTTCAGAGAGACCTTGAGAGCCTGATTGATTTGCACCAGCTCAGCAGGACTCACACCTGCCATTAACAACTGTGACCACACTCTCCATTTCCCTCCCGCTGGGAGAGTCCAGCGCTGTTCTTGCCCACCTTGAAAAGACAGTCTTAATCACGGTGGGAAAAGAGACGCTGGATCAGTTTTATCTTCGTCAATATACCTTTCCATCTTGCCCTGGCAGCTGCTAACACAAAACAGCTGTGTAGGGCAGAAAAACAACAACATAAAAGAACACAACGTTAAGAAATGTCTGTCTTTATAGAACTTTTAAGAGGAACAGTGCATAGTGTTCTTTGTCCTGTTTCGTTTTTGAAGCAGTGATGGAAATAAAAGACATTGTCTCCCAGGTGAAAACCTAGAGAACCTGCTCCATGAAGGCTATCTCGTTATACAACACCTTTATCTTCATTAGACTGTGAACACATCCCTTATGCTTGCCTTATGATCTCAAGCTCTGAGTTGAAAATATATTATCCTTCCTTGTGACATGATGTTTTATCATATAACCTTTTAGAGTCAATGTGGTTATTGGTAATTAGTGGGTCTATATGCTACTATCCTACAGAGTCAAATGCTTTTAAATCTCAGCCTCTTTTCCAGTGTCTGTGCAGTTTCTAAGAGTTTTCATCCTTTCTTCACCCCAGATATGTGTCTTGTAGCCAGAGGGGGCTGCAGTCACCAGTGTACCGTGGCACCAGGGAAAGGGGTGGTGTGCTTTTGTCCCCCTGGGCTTCACCTGGACTCCAGTAACAAGACGTGTGAAGTGGTGGACTACTGCAGCCGTCACCTAAAGTGCAGCCAGGTGTGTGAGCAGTACAAGACCACAGTGAAGTGCTCCTGTTATCCAGGATGGACGCTCGACCCAGACGGAGACAGCTGTCACAGCACAGGTAACAGACCTTAGCTTTTTTTTTAATGTTTGTTTTTAGTGATTCTGTTAGCTGCCGTGGCAGTGTGTGCCTGAGGGTCTGTGTCTGCAGTAATTAAAGTTTTTCCCAGGGCATACCAGTAACTCTAAAACCTTATATTCTGAGTTAGAATCACTGACTGTATTCCTGCAGTGTTGGTGCTTTTAATGAAAAATATGAGTTGTATTTATCATTTATTAATGCAAGATTCACACCGTGGATAAGAGCAACTGGAGAGGAAAAAAAATAAGTCAGACCATGGTATTGGAAGGTTTTTGTGTTAGTGGGTTGGAGTGCTGGGGAAGTGGAAGGCTAGTCTGAATAGTAATAGATGTTGATTTAGGGTGCTGTCAGGTCAAATTCAATCAGTTTCAAATCTGAAGAGACATCTGGGCGATGAGTCCTGTCTGTTTCTATCTTTACTGATGCTGAGTGAAGGAAGCATGTATCCCTCAAACCACCAGAGCTTTGTAACTTCATTCAGCTGCGCACAAGTTCACCTCAGGCCTCACCCCATTCAGACACAAATGTTTTCCCAGTGTAGTACCACATCATAAATTCGAACTTTCCGCTATTCTGTTATTGAATAATCCATTTGATGAGACCGCTCTGTAACCGCTTGGAATACAATAGTTACGCACACATGCTGTTGGCTTGTCACATTCAGATTTATGGACCTCGTTTTGATTACTCGCTTCTCTATTTCACTCCAAGATTGATGGCAGTCGCAGCCCTAATCTTACATTAACACAGGAAAAGAATACACAATTTTCTCTGGAAGCCGATCAGAATTCCACGGCTTCGTCATAAATCAAATTTTGCATACAAACACAAACAGTCCAATTTAATCTTGAGAGAGGTGTTATTGGATTCTTTGTGAAGTCCCGAGCACACATCCACTCCTCCTTTTCCTTTGCACATCTCAGGAATAAAAGATTTGCAAGTACAAATCTTCTCTCCGGTAGCATTGTTGCTAGTTTTGTTGCAACACTGGAATGTGTCATTGAAGCAAGGACACCGCTTTAATTGCATTTTTACAGTTCCGTTCCCTAAAGTATGATTTAGTCGGGAGTGTTGTGAAGAGAGTTTTAGTTGTGCAAACATTTCTCAGAAGCAGAAATAATCTTACTGATTGAACTAAACCTCAGTGGGCAAGGCCAGAGAAGTTCAGTACACAAGTGCTGTTGCCAGCTCTAGGACTTCTCACTAGATTTAGCGACTTCTTAGAGACCCTGCAAAATGTATTTCTCACAAGGCATCACTTACAAATGTATCTACTTTTTCAGAAAATGGAAAAATGTAATGTGTTGATTCCCAAAGTGTTTGGCAACAAATTGGTTTGGCTTCAACTGATGCATATATATATTTGCACTACATGGTGGTATAAACTAGTGGAATGTGTTTGAAAATATGTCCTTTGCACAGCAGATAAACAGAGAGAGACAGAGAGCAACTGAGTGAAATAAATATATGGAACTAAATTAAGATCAATTCTTTCAATTTCTCTGCAGATTTTGCTTGATATGAACTAACCACTGTAATAAATTTAATACATTGAATTTCATTCTGTATAACCCTGCTTTAGCGATAGGAACATCACTAAAACAATCTCTTGTCTTAATCTAAAAAAATTTAAACTACTACATATTGTATAGAACACTTCTGCTTCACTTAACTGGAACCAAATGGGATGTTTACACCACACCTGTTTTAGCATCTTTGAATTGGCTCTCTGATTTAAGATCTATTGATTACCTCTAAAGGAGCTCTATGTAAAATTGAAACTAGAGATGGCTGAGGTGGTCGCTAGCAACTAAGGGTTCTAACTCATAAAGAGTGCTAAACAACAGCAACAGTGCTAACAAAGCTAACAGTGTTAACCATGGGGGTACAAAAGGGGGGCATTATGCTGCCATGTCAATGCCATTCTGATATTAGTGGTAACCACCGTGAGCACTCTAAGCGGCAGTGATTACCTAGTCATTGGAATACGCACACACTAAAATGAACATGCGGCCAAACTGAAACTCACCAAAACAAACCACAGAGAAGCTTGGATTACATCACACACAGAGGTAGCGTGACTTCCTTCTTTGCTCAAGGCACTCAAGACATTCATGTTATCAATGTTGCATACAAAACCTCTAAGGCTCATCATGATCTGGCTCCACATTATATTTTAGACTTTTTATGCCCCTGTAAACCTTTGTGTGGTTTAAGATCTCTGTGCAGAGGTCCTCAGTGTCTTCCAGAGTCCAGGTTGAAGACTATAGGGGACAGAGCCTTTGCAATCAGGGCCCGTAGGCTTTGTAATGACCTGCCTGAGAAAATAAGGCTGTCTGAGTCAGTGTCCTCCTTTAAGTCTCTTCTAAAAATGTAATTTTATCGGAAAGCATATCCTTATTTTATCTGAGCTGACGGTTTAGTTAGTTGATTTTTAATTTCTTGTTAATTGTTTTTATTTTTTTCCATTTATTCATGATGGTTTTTCTTTTTTTTTTTTTTTTTTGTACCAGTGAAGTACAGTACTTGTATGCACAGTATTACTGATGAAATTAATAATGGCTTAATTCTATACAAGTGCCCCAGTCAGCTGTGACGGTGGGACTGAGAGTCAGCACGCACAATACCAGGACCCTGAAACTACAGCAGCTAAACAGAATGCAGCCATCATCAATTTATTTTCGCCTGTGCCTTTCAATAATGCAGGCTGCACTGAAGTACAGCTTATCTATTTGCGTTGTCAAGCTAATATGAAATATGTGCATTGGCAGTTTAAAACCTTGTTCACTTGTGATTATATGGGTCCTGTGCTTCCTTCTTTTAGGGGTAATAGTAGTCATAGTATTCACTTTTCAGCTTCTGATCCAATTAAATGTTATTAGAAGCGAAGTTGTGGTGTTCAGCCTCCAACTCAGGCAGCAGCAGAAAGAGACCCTCCAAGGTTGGGAATCACAATTCATTCATTCATTCATGTTTAATTAGGAGGACAATTACTACAGCAGTGTGTCCACTTTTTTTTTCTTTGGCTAGCATTAGGTAGAGCTTTGTTGGTTGCTAGGTCAACAAGCTAATTTAGATCTTTTAGTATAGCTGGATGAATTTTAGTAATGCAAGCTACAATTTGGTGCTTTCTTTTACCCCTTGCCTTTTTTTTTTATCCTGGCTTCAAGTCAATTTGTTTAAAGAGCATAGTGTAAAACAACAAACCGTGACCAAACAAAACCAGCACTGATGAAAAAACACAGAAAGGGAATTAAAAGCAATATGTTTGTGTAAAAGAATGTACCTGTAGATTTATGTTTGCGTGGGAATGTTGATGGGTGTGAGATCACTATCAGCAATGCCAATGTTTTTTCCATGTTGTTTTGACTTCACAAAAAATACCTTAGATCAAGCTCCGACATTTCTAACAATTATCTGTTGATGCAGTAACATTCAGTATTCCATTTTAACTTTGACAGTAATTTTCCTCAGAAAATGTGCCAGAGCTTATAGTGGTTATGATACATTCCAGTCACATTCCTGTAAAAGAAGTGGGCCGTCACAGCTCACTAGCCAGTGCAAATCTCAGAATGTCCAATGCTGTGCATGATGTTGCACATTGTTGTGCGTCAACAATTTACTCGAAACCCAGCTGAACCCTAGAGGTGGCCCTCCTAAAAAACATTACGTCGCTTGTTTCCTGTCTCTGTTTGGCCAGATCCCTTTGAGGCTTTCATCATTTTCTCAATCCGGCATGAGATAAGACGAATAGACCTTCACAAGCGGGACTACAGCCTGCTGGTGCCGGGGCTGAGGAACACCATCGCGCTAGACTTCCACTTTAATCACAGCCTGCTTTACTGGACAGATGTGGTGGAGGATAAGATCTACAGAGGACGGCTCTCAGAGACTGGCGGTATGCGTACACGCCAGTACATACATACACCCACGTACACAAACATTCGCTACAGTATATATCTAAAGACCGCTGTGATGTATTGGCTAAAGAGAGTCATGTCTGGCTCATCTGAGCTTCAGCAGCTGTAATGAAAGTCTGAGACACTGCCAGTGATAACGCTCTGTTTTACTGTACTGTCTTTACACATACTCAGGTCTGATGCAGTGAGTTGATATTGTCCCTCCCTGCAGATTTATCTCAGGTTGTCCAACGCTGAAAAATACTGCAGGACCAGAAGTCTCGGGCTGTTGTATCACGGTGTCTCCCCCTCATAAAATGATGAATCAGAACTTTTCCTTCGCTCTGTATTTTTGTGGGCGGCAGTACATTCACTAGGTTCACTTGCCTTTATTTCCCTCTGCGGAGCTGTAGAAATCACCTCTTAGCTGTACCCAGTCCACCCTTTTGTGAGATGCACATAAAAGCCTCAGCATCGGAGAATAATTGTAAACAGCTACATTATAAATATTGTGGGAAAACCCTTTTACCATGTGAAATTGAACCCTGTAGAAAGCAATCTTCTTTATGTGGAAGAGCTTTCCTCAAGAGTTCTCTGACTGTGCCCTTTTGCTTTGAGGAGGTTTTCCTGAGCATTGTAAAGAAACACCAATCACCAATGCTGCCCCTTGACTGCAAGGTAAGTCACTACTACGTACTCATGCTATCACTGTGTTGATATTGTTTCAGGCGTGACAGGGATTGAGGTGGTCGTGCAGCACGGCCTGGCCACCCCGGAGGGCCTGGCCGTGGACTGGATTACAGGGAAGCTGTACTGGATCGACAGCAATCTGGACCAGATCGAGGTGGCCAAACTTAACGGAGATATGCGCACCACACTGATTGCCGGAGGCATGGAGCATCCACGGGCCATCGCTCTCGATCCAGGGCAGGGGTATGTTACGCACTAACTCCCACATGCAGAGCCTGCTGGTAGCTGTGCCATCCATCAGGCACAGAGATTATTGGAATAAAGTAAAATTACAACCTCCTTGTATTTCTCACTTCTGCATCTGCCCTGATGTATGAAGATGTCTGCTGTGTTAAGGTCCATTAAAGCAGCAGATATAGAGTACATCAATAACGGTGCTGTGTGCTCCATTCCAGTAATGACAACTGATGTAGCTAATACCCCCCCAACCATTGCTTTGACTTTACACGCTTTACTGCCTTTTCTCTCTTGTTTCCAAGCAATGTTTTTCTTTCAAACATTTTAAGCAAGACCTTCAAATAAAAAGCCCAAAATATGCTCTGTTCTTATTTGTGCATCATTCCCCTCAGGGCTATTTCAAAATTATGGTTGTTTATCCTGCTGGGATGCATGCAGAGATTGTTTGTAGACTGATCTGTGGCTATGAAATGGCAGCCTTTCCTTTGCCCAGTCAGCAAGCAAGACTTGAAAAACATCCATTACTGTGCATTGATTACACTTTCCTTTTCTTGGTATGACAGGTGTTATGATAAGCTTTTTGATTTGTTAAATTAGGTTGTTGGACCACGCCACAGTGGGGGTAACAGGCTTGTTATTAGCCACCGATGCAACACCCCTGGGAGGCTTTGATAGTGTATGTTGTTTTGGACTGTTTAACAGTTTGAAACTTTGCCATCCACCCTTTGAAATTAAACTGAACTGCCTAAAGAAGAAAAATTCACGAGGGACCAAGAGGGAAATCCTCCCGTCAGAGGCATGGCTCTTAAGCCCAGTTCAGACCAAAGATTGGCGTTGAGACAAAACCATTTTAGAAAGTTGCAGCAGTGTTCACTGGCTGGTCTGAGCTCGACTCAAGCCGGCTGATGGTGTCATCTGCAACTCAGTTAGTCAAATCGCAGATGGCTGGTATTTGAATGTAAAGCACATCACCTGTTTTAATGGCCAGTCATCCCTGCCGAGCTCTGTTTCCTTCCTCATGGTGTGTTGGTGTTGGACAGTGGATCACTGCTTTTGCCTGCTGTATGTGCTTATGCCCAACTTGTCTGATCGCGAATCTTTGGTCTAAACTGGGCTTTAGGTTGCAGGTATCTTAGATGCCTTAACATATCATACAGGTTTCATATGTCATATTGGCATTTTTTTTGTTATAACAAACCAACTGTTTTATGTCCTTACAATAAGAATCATATTTTATTGTACAAGCTTTGCATGTTTGCGTGTGTGTGGCGTGTGTATGTATGTTTGGGAGCTACTCCCTAATCTGTATGTGTGTTTTTACTATTTATGTTTTTCCCTACTTTTTAATCTGTTAATGAGATTTACTGAGTGGTGAAAGGTTTTATAGAGCCTTGTGGGAAGCACATTAAAATGCCTCATAATTGTTCAGCATTTTGTCATTGTAGTTAACTGAAAATAAACACTTGCGAGTATTTCACTGTCGGCGTGGCCTTAAATTTGTGCAAGTTTTCACAGTGGGTTGTGCTGTGGTTGTGTGAAAGTGCTTTAATCCAGCGTTAGGATCCTAAGTGCAGAGGGCGATGAAATTAACTAACAACCATATCGCCAGAATAAAATCTTGGCATTGTATGTTTCTGCAAAGCCTGGATATGTTACATTTGTTCCAATACATAGGACTTTAGTTCAGATTACATGTATGTGAGCCCATTTTCTCACCAGGAGAAGGATGAGGGAATGGTGGATGGTGTGACACCTTGACAAGACATGGGTTTTTTTTTTTGGCTCAAAATGAGGTGGAGGTGGTACTACTCTGATGATGTGCACACATGTGCATGTGTTCTGTGCTTTCAGATGGCTGTTTTTAAGCCTTATCTAAATGATTGAAAAACATGTATTTTAAGAAATCCCCTCACATACTTTTACAAGACACTTTTATTACAGCCTATCTCTTTCATATCATTCATAGCATCATATATCATTCTCTTGTGTAATGTAATGAACTAATATCATGTTTAACAGATGTCTGTTTGAATGTTTTTACCAACAAAGTGGTAAAAAAGTTGATGAAAAAAATGTAGAGGTAGTCTCACTGCAAGTCGGCGTTCCAACACATAAAGAAGCGTATGAAGTAGTGTTCACAAACACCAAGTCCATCTGCCATTTGCAATTGCATTTATTAACTCTAACTGGTGATATAAAACTATCATCAAATGGCAGAGGAAAGGTTGTAGTGTTTGTAGTGACCAAATCAGTTATTTAATCCAAAACATGATGTTTCCCTTAGTGTTCTTTGTGCACAAACCTAACCACACATTAACCAAATTGTTCACAACATGGAAGTGATAATTGTAATGTAAAGAAACAAATGTTAAACACATCTAATACATATAAAACATACATACATAACATGGTTTGCAGAAATGAACAATGCCAGCATTTATTCTGGCAATGGGTTGCTGATGAAATGATTTGAATTCGTTGAATTTATCTTTAGGTGATTGTTGTATTCTGTTATGGTTATGTATAAAAAATGTGATTAAAAAATTAATTAATGAAGTGCATGCGTACTGTATCCATTCAGGCAGTGTTTTCAAAGATTACCACAGTCTCACTCTTTTTCTCTTTGAAAGTCTGGTAGAATTCATTTTGTCCCAAATGATTCGTGATGTCCTCATGTGAGCACAGAGCAGCCATCGATCCACTATCCACTTGTGCAAGACACAGATAAAACAAAAGTGCAGCAAGAGCACTGACCAATTACACAGACGTGATGGACAGTACTGTCAGTATTTTAAACTTGGGGCATCAGTACTAACATGTTGAATAAACTGCCACGAAGTCTGCTCATATTTGCAGTTGCAAACATTTGTTTGTGAGTGTCGGATCATCCCTCACTGAAAATAGTATCATTGTAACAAGTTTAACTGTACTTCACATTTCTTCTACAATGTTTTCAGTTTCCATTCCAATATTATAATACAATTGGTTATCACAAGTAATGCAGTTAGAATAAGTGATGCAATGTGCACAATTGGGGATGTTCTGTCCAGTGTGCACACTGTTACTGCAGTGGTCATGAAAAAAAGTCAAGGTTATTTTTATAATGTATTTATTGAAATAGTGACAATGCTGTTATCTGCATTATTGTTTTCTTGCTTATCATATTATGTTTTTCCAGAGGTTGATTTCAGTTCCTAGGCAATCGGTGAACCTTTGCACTTTGTTTAGTCTTTTCTTTTTCTTTTCTTTTCTTTTTTATGTGTGTGTGTATGTGTGTTCTTACACATGCAGCTATGTCCACATACCTTACCTTAGAGTTACTTTTCAGAATAACAGAGTCACTAGCATTAGAATGCTTTTTTAGATGCATCCCATTTGTTGATTATTGAATATTGTTTTATTATATCACGGAGGAGACAATTGTTGCCAAGCAGCAGCTGCTGTAAGACGGAGAAATGAGTTCTGAAAGGAGAGAGAGCCTGCCAGTTTTAACAATTTAGGGGCGACTGAGTGTGGTAGGGAAAAAGCACTCACTTACCAATGCAGAGACCCAGGTTCACTCCCCCGGCAGCTATGCCTCTGTCTTGGCCAGGTGCCCCTTCAAAAACAGCTGTCAGTGTTTGCCGGTGCAAACAGGTGATGGAGGCTGGTGAAGGGTGATGTCCATATCACCGCACTGTGACTACTGGTTGGTCAAGGAGCCTGGGTGAAGACAGGTGGGATGTGGGTGGAATAGCGTGAGATTTTATGCAGCTGAAAGTACGATTATATTAACCTTTCTTTGCAATTGCAACCGCCTGACACTAAGCCTAAAAAAAAAAAAGTTATATTTTTGATATGAAGAATAAATAATTGTTTAGTGGAGTGATTGCAAATTGTAAACAGTGCATGACAGTTATGCTGTCAAACAAACAAAAACCAACTAAAACAGTTCACCCTAGTGGGATCATCTCAGCACAACTCAACATCTCAACAGCTGCCCTCAGGCTGTCACCCAGATGTGTTGCATCAGCCCATATGTGACTTAACATAACACTATATTTATTGACTATACTACAAAATGTATTGCTTAGAGGGTGAATTTTGGTCCATGCAGGTACTTTCAAGTTTAATAGAATTGAATTTTTTAAAGATACATATTAAGTTATTAGCTATTAATTGAAACAAGTAGTTGTTTACCTTCTCTTAGTGCTGGAAACACAGTTGGGGATTTTTACCCCATTTCCACCTATCTACAGAATATATACTGTGTTCAGATGATATATGGTAGTGCAAATTATATGGGAAACAATCTATTTTCTCTGTTTTTGGTGTGTTGCTAGTTTTTCATATTTGGATCTCTGGGTTAATGCATCTGAGAACTAGCCAGTGGTTGTATACTGCGGCCAGTATATTTCAGATTAAAGCAAAACCCAGACATTCCTAAAATCAATTTAACACTCTTAAGAAATGAGTAATCTGCTCATGCACTCTCCCCTATAGTACTCTTTCACATTTGTGAGGATGACTACATTTCATGGTTGTACAGAGTAGGATTAATGGGTGCTTTTGGTGCCTAAAGGCGCATTTCCATTCCAGGGCAATAATTCTAATCTAATTACTTGAATCCACTCAAAGGAGTGGGTCATCGATCAGGGAGGCCTTATCAAGTGAATAATGCTATTGATCTGGACAAGGATATTTCTTCCTAACACTGTTTCGTTGTCGTCAGTATGTGATTTAAGCTTGAGCACCCATTTTCTCCTTCATTCCAGCTGACTTTGTGGACCAAAGCAGGACAGAGGCGATGTTTGCTGAGCTGGAGTAGGACTCAGGGTGGTCACATCAATGACAGTGTTCATTTTCAGGCCTCATTGAGCTGTGAAAAGTCATAATAAAACAGATGGCCTCCCATTTCAAGGCATGTCGCAGATGTTAAGGGTTGCACTGGATCGCTGGTGCTGTTCTTGGACAGTCATCACTGCCACTCTCCGTGTTAATGCAGTTACAAAAGCATTGAAAATACAATCACTGTGTTTTTTTCGGTATCAACACTGACAAGCACAAATGACTGAGGCATTGTTCTCGGATGGCTGTGAGGTCAAACAGCCCTTTTTAGTGGATCTATGAAAAATTGTGCATTGTGTGTATTGTTGCTTGTCCTCATAAACAACAGACAGTGATCAATACTAAATGTTGCCTTTGGATTTCTGCTCTAAGGATTCTCTTCTGGACTGACTGGGATGCTACTTTCCCTCGCATCGAGGCTGCATCAATGAGTGGGGGAGGTCGACACATTGTGTTCAAGGATATGGAAATCGGCGCCTGGCCTAATGGACTGACTCTGGATCATTTGGAAAAGAGGATTGTTTGGACAGATGCACGGTACACCATTAGAGTTTTCACATTTTGTGCAGAAGCATTCACACCTTTTAGAACTTCCAGTCCATGTATGACATTATATATTGTGCAGGATTCACCAGTCCCTGAATAAAAATTTAACATGAAGCTCTATTCCCCCAGTGGGCATTAAATAATGGAGGACATGTAATATTTAGAGATCTTAGTACAATGGCCATATTTGGTTTTAAGTGGGTCTTGAACAACTTAATATTTCCATCAGTGGACTGGTGGGCTGCACTTTGATCTGCCTACTTCTACTGCTCCCTTTTTTTATGCATTTGGAGAGCAGTTGAAACTTTGATATGGCCCTTTGTGTCGGTCTCTTTTGAACAGCTCCGATGCCATTTTCTCTGCACTCTATGATGGAAGTGGGGTCATTGAGATCCTCAGGGGCCACGAATACCTGTCCCATCCCTTTGCTGTGTCTCTTTTTGGAGGCAATGTCTACTGGACGGACTGGAGGACGAACACTTTAGCCAGAGCCAATAAGTGGACTGGGCACAATGTCACAGTCATCCAAAAGACGAGTGCTCAGCCTTTTGACTTGCAGATCTTCCACCCCAGCAGGCAGCCACAAGGTGAGGGCAGTTTTTTCTGGCTTTACTGTTGGAGATGAGACATTCAAAGAAAAAGGACATTTTAGTATGTTAGCTGGAACCAGGTTTAAATATAATTTGTCAGTTTTGAACTTCAAGGATATGCACAGCAGGGACATTTAGTCCCATGAAGCACTGTGGCCACTGCAAGCTTTGAAGGGTTTTTACCTTATTTAGCATGGGGACTAGTTTTAACCATATATTGTTTGAAAGCACAGAGCCCCAGAATTGTATCTGTATACAGCCCTGTTGCCAAAAGTAAATGTTGGCATTGTATATTTCTACAAACTGCAAACATGTCACATTTCATACATACCATATTAGTGTTTCTAAAGTGATGTAGTATATGAGCTAGACTCACAAGTCAGTCTTTACACGCTTTGCTTAACTAAAGACTGATGTCTTTCTCCCCGCTTTTGTGTTAAGATGGGCGGATACAATTTCAGAGTTTAAAAAAAACTCCCTACGTTGCAGAACCAATGGTAAATCCACAGGGTGGTCCTTCGATGGCTCGCTGAACTCTTGTGCTCGTAAACAGTCCGACTGCGTTAAAAGTTTTAAACAAAGTCGCTGTAAGTCCTTCATTTCCACAATCTTGTGGACTGAGCACACATTTGATAAATGATAGAAGTTAAATCTCTCTGCATCCATTTTCAAGCTCTCTGTGCGTTTGTTTCCTTGCGGACGAGAAAAGGGGGAGCGCACATTTCCGGGAGGGCGTGTCCTTTTCAAAAATGCAAGAGGCGTTGCTTTGTTGCCGGCCGCTTTCTCCGGTGTGTTAAACACACTTTAGAAAGGAGTGTCCCCAGACTATCAGAAGGCGGAGATCTCTGATTGTCTGGTGGCGAGACTATATATGAGCTGGCTTTGTTATCCAAAGGTGGGTATGGCACCTGCCAAGTTGGATTGTTCAAGACCAAAAAATAACAAAACCGGTTGTGATTTTGTGTGTCATTGCTATGTTGTCAGCAGCTTTTTTAGGCACCAAACATGGATTTTTTTTAATTTTTTTTAGCAACCCATCGTTGTTTTTCCAGTGGCCACCATTTCCAGGCGTTTTTATACCAAAGCCTAACCACACGTTAACCACAGCATTGCTGAAACTTGAAGTTTCAATATATTTACTCCATAAAAACTTGCAAATATAACATAGCCGTGGTTTGCAGAAATGTACAATGCCAACATTTTTCTGGTGACTGGGTTAGTATAAACCATTTTTAAGATCCTACTATCAGTTTGACATTTCGTAACAGGAATGCATAGAAAACAGAAAGGTAATATGAAACAATTTTACCATGCTTGCACCTCTGCAAACATTCAACATGAGTTAGACTAGTTCTGACCTCTTGGTTGTAAACTCCAAAGAATGACCATTTGAAAGAAACCAGGATCATAGCTACAATTGAAAAGGTTCAAGAACAGTAATCATTTCACTTTGGGTATGTCATATTAAGGCTTGTGCACAAAGAAGGGGAAGCTTGTTAAGGAGTTTCAAGCACGAACTCATCACATCCTTTCATATTACACCCTTTAAGTAAACAAAAAAGATTCACATGGAATTCGGCTATAATCCTCCCATAACACTGGATGTTGATCGCGGATGCATTATCTTTCAAAACACAATTCATTCTCATGGTGTAAAAGGAAAAAAAAAATACAGCATAATATAAATTTCAGCTCCTGTCTCTGCCTTCATTTGGCCTGTCAATCAACACACATGTGTCTGGATGAAAAAGGTACTCATGCAGAGAATTAGCAAGCTTGAGTTAATGCCACCCCTGAATGTTTTTTTCTCACCATCCACATATTCTAATTGTCTCATACCACTATATTAAGCCTTTTTTTCTGAATGTGAATAAAGAAGGCTACAGACAGAGAACTGCATCTGCCAACGAATAATTGTGGCGTATCCAATTATCAGATCAATTAGTAATGTGAATAATGTGTTGAGGTGACATGAAATATAGGAAATAGTTCTGAAACTTCATTAATATTGCCAGCAATTTATTTTCAGTGAACGCCTCTGAATCTGTATCTGTCACAGTGGAATAGGTAATCAATTTTGTCAGAAGCCAAGTAAGCCATGATTCCGAGCCCAAACATGGTGAATTGATGTGCTGTCTGACAGAAAGCCTACATATGTAAGCCAGTCTTTATTTGATATGCAGATCAGCTTGCAAGATGTATTGCCAAGCACAAATTAATAACATAAAATCTGTTTTCAATTTACTCTATTGTGGGTTTTTTTCGTAAATAAGTTGTTTTGAAATTGATTTTTGATTTATTCGTAAAGCAGAACTCCTGGAAAAAAAAGCAGTGGCTTATGGAACATTTGGGACATGCGTGCCAAGACCGCCTGATTGATGGTTCAGTTTCTATTGCAGTTGCCTTTTTCAGCATTGCCAAGTTTCAAATTTATCCGCCTCAGCTTTCTTCATACGTAAGCCACCATCCTTAAATGGGCATTATTACGGTGGTAATCGGGTTTGCATCTATTCAGTGATTTCTCTGCTTCTCCAAAGTGTCACGAGTTAATTTGCTTGTTTCCTTCCTGTATCTGCATTCTCATGGCTGCTCACCATAGATAAGTGTGAGCAAATGGGACTGCTTCTCCAAAGAAGACAGTAAGCATGCCTAATCCTATTTAAAAAAGCTCAACAGGGGGGGAGCTGGCTATTATCCACTCTAGCCAGAACCAAGGCCTAGAGATGTGATGCTCCACTAGACCTCGAACATCTGGACCAGAGAAAAGGGAAAAGAAAAGAAGGGAGAACTGAACAGCGATATGCAGCTGGTCTCAGGAGCTGTTCACTAGGTGCCACAGTGGAGCTCCACCGGGGGCATAAATAGCCTGTAAATACATTATGTGTCACTTGAAAGGCAAGGGTGTGTTTTAATATTAGAATGGGTAACAAGCGTTTGCAAATTAGGATGCAGATTGGCAGTCCCAGGGCCTCACAACTATAACAGATAATTGGCTGATTACAGTCAGAGCATCACACAGAAACCTACATGTATATCCATTGCACCATTATAAACAGCAGTAGCTATAGCTATAGTCATTAATGGCCCCCGTACAAACTCTCCATGACCAAGCAGCTTACTACTCTTAGCAATTTTGTAAGATACCACCCGGGGGCGATTTGAGGTGGGCAGAGGGGGAACACCATCCACCTCGTTAGCAAAGAGACCAAAATTCCACCCCCTTGTTGACCTGATATCCCTGGGTGCAGACCCAGATGCCATCCTGTCTAGACCCAGACTTGTAACTGCTAAATTAGTGAGAATTATTCCGTTTTAATGGAGCGTTTCTTTCTTAACTGGCACAGCATTTGTCGCACTGGTTTAGCAACCAGGAAACTGCAGTAAATCATCTCATGTGATGCTACTGAGCCAATCAAATCTGTGTCTGAAAGACAACAGTCAGAGAAATAAGAGAGTCGGGGAAAAGTAATTTCACATGGCGTGTTCTAAAGAGAGAAAAGCACAAACAGAGCTTTTAATCAGTCATGAACAGACTCCTACATGTTCATTCTTCCCACGGGTGGTTCGAAAACAGTATGTTTTATCATATGTTCTGAGACTGGGGTGATTAGTGAAAGCGGCAATTAAGCACCACAACTACACACAAATCCAGATCACTTTGTCTGTCCCCTGAGATTCCGCAAAGTAAAAATTGATCTATTTTTCTCTGCAATCATGCAACATTTTCTCTGTGAAACTTTCCAGGCGTCATTAGTTGCCATACAACCAGTAGTTTTCTAAAAATTGTCATTCTTAATCTGACACACACACTTTAGGAGGAAACTGATGCAGTAGCTGAATAGTACATTGAATGTAAGCTGATTAAAATATATTACATGGACTTTATGTTGTGTATGGAGGCCAGACAAAATGTTTCTGAGGGCTGCCATTGGCCCACAGGCCACACTTTGAGCAGCTATTCTCCATCCTAAGTACTGTACCATGGAATTAGTTTGTGATTGTCTACACGTACTGGTACTATGCGGTCTTCAATAATACTAGTGGTCGTATGACTACATACCCTTCCTTGTTTATGCTTCGCCTACACACATGTCCACTTAGACTCAAGGATGTACTGATTAGAATAGATTGCTGGTCAAAAGTCACTGTGACCTCACAAAACAAGCTTTCGGCCGTGATTCAAGACTTTATATGCTAATTATGACAACATTTCTCACAAATGTCTAATAGAACAAAATGATGAAGTGATGACATTTCATACAAAAGGTCAAAGGTCAACTTCAGTGTGACATCATATTGTACTGCAAAAAACACCTCTGGCCATTAGTCAAATGCCATAACTCAGGAACAGAAGGGGAGCCATTTGGTCAGATACTGAATCGGTGACACTAAAGTGGGATTTATATTTCTGCGTCGAATTGACGCTGTACCTACGACGTAGGCTCAGCGTCAGCATAGAACCTACGCTTTATCCTAAGCCGTAGCCTGATGTGCACCTCCCAAGAAATGTAACTACACATTGCAGCGACGCAGACCTGTCTATTTTTGTAGGCTGAAACCATTTCCCTCAGTGGAAATGAAGCTTTTATTTACTTTTATTTCACAGATAAGAAGCAATAAAATGTGAAGACAAGCAAGCCTCTACAATATAGCATTTTATGTCTTGTGTGTGATTTATCCATAGACTGTAGAAGGATTTATCCCAGCTTCATATGAGTAATACAATGCAATGCAATGTAAAATGTTATAGGGTTGTGCTAATAACGTTAGCATGTGTGATTTGTTTGGAGAAGTGTTTATATAAGACAGTTGTTCTATAATGGAACTGAATTTTGTAATTTACCTTTTTTTAAATGTTGCTGTTGTCTCTGGATTTGTTTGAGTAGAGAAGGTCCGCTACCTGCTAGGCTAATTTATATAATGTAAAATGTGATAGGCTTGTACTAAAAACATTAACTTGTTGCATTGTGGGGAAAATGTGTCCAGCAAAATGTGTT